AAAATAGGAAACCCTAGATAATAGGAAATCTTTAAAACCCTAAATCCTAGGAATAATAAGAACCCCTAATCAAATTAGGAAATATTTAGAAATAGGAAAATTAATCCTAAAGTAAAGAGGAAAGTAAATCCTAAAAGGAAAAGGAAAAGTTAATCCTAATTAAAAGAGGAAATCTAATCCTAAGCAAAAGAGGAAAGTCAAATCCCTAAGTAAATCGATTCATGGTTCGGTCTCAAATACCGCATGACACTAACGATTACATGATTTTGACTCAAAACTTTTCCTTGTAGATGTTGAATTACAACTTGTACTTTACTGCCCTAAATCTCTTAGGAGATAATTATTTTAAAATGGGAATGGATACTAAGATTATCCTAAAGTCAAAAGGACTTGGTTAATGTATCTAATAAGGCAAGAATGCCAAGAGAGAAAGATAGATACAAGGCAATATTAGCTACCATCTTATTGAGAGTCTCATAATCAGGACTATAAGTCCGTGGATGAGTCTATTGCTAGATGAGCAAAATAATGACTTACTGATAAAAACAGTGAGTTACGACCTCATAGATTAACCCCATCACCTAATGCCAATAAGGCCGCAGAGGATAAGAAAGAATCCAAAGAATCTAACCACGTCTAAAGTGATAGACCACACGGCCGTGACCGTGGTGGTATTGAAAGGACGTGGTTGTGGCCACTATAACTCATCCGGCCGTGGGAACCACTATAACCGTGGATGTAGACCCAATTCCGGCCGTGGTCGAGGGCGAGGACGATGTGGTATTTCCAAACCACAACACTCGACCAAATGAGTATGCCATAGATGTGGTATTGAAAGGACGTGGTTGTGGCCACTATAACTCATCCGGCCGTGGGAACCACTTTAACCGTGGATGTAGACCCAATTCCGGCCGTGGTCGAGGGCGAGGACGATGTGGTATTTCCAAACCACAACACTCGACCAAATGAGTATGCCATAGATATGGAATGGGAAACAATTGGGCTAAGATATGTAGGACTTCCAAACATCGTTGTGACCTCTATCAAGAGAGTGTAAAAGGGAAGAATCCTAAAGCCCATTTGGTATATAAAGATGGTGAACATGATCAAGATGATCTAATAGAGTATGAAACTTCTGATTGCATAAAAGAATCAAGTTGATAAATTTTACTTCGACATCAAAACCTCTATGTTTTTCTTTGCATTTTATGTGTTCATTGATTGTTATTTGCTTGAATTTATTTTATATTATTTTATGTTTAGAACATGATTCTTGTCCATATAAGAAATGGCCGAGGACAAGAACATAATTATGGTGGATAGTGGAGCCACACAAAAGACAAGAGATATTTTCCTAAATCTCATAATAAAATGCTAATATTAGCACTATAGCGGGTATAGCAAATCTTATTGAGGGCTACGGCCAAGCCCATATTCTATTACCAAATGGCACGCATCTTGAACTAAGCGATGCCCTATATTCACCCAGCTCGAAGAGGAGCTTATTAAGTTTCAAAGATATAAGATTGAATGGTTTCCATATTGAAACAAAGGGTGAAGGGAACAAAGAGATCACCCAAGGACATAAGAAAGTCCTAGAGACTATACCCGCATTATCCACTGGTCTCTACTATGCTAAAATCGATATGATCGAAGCTAATATGGCAATGAACAAAGAGTTCATCGAGAAATTCACTTTATGGCATGACCAGCTTGGCCATCCGGGTCATAGTATGATGCGTAAGCTTATGATAAATTCAAAGGGGCACACCCTAAAAGAGAAAAGAGTTATCCCTAAGAATCTCACGTGTGAAGCATGTTCACAAGGGAAACTCATTATAAGGCCATCACCGGCTAAGGTAAATAAAGAGATCTTAAAATTTCTGGAAAGGATACAAGGAGATATATGTATGGTCTTCATTGATGCATCGACAAGATGGTCGCATGTTTGTCTCCTATCTACTAGAAACCAAGTGTTTGCTAGGTTATTGGCCCAGATAATAAGACGAGCCCACTTTCCAGATTTTCCGCTTAAGACTATACGTCTAGACAATGCCGGTGAATTCACGTCCCAAGCGTTTAATGACTACTGTATGTCCATGGGGGTAAGTGTGGAACATCCCGTAGCACATGTACATACACAGAATGGATTAGCGGAATCCTTCATTAAACGAATTCAATTGATAGTTCGACCATTACTCATGAGGTCGAAGCTTCCAGTAGCCGCTTGGGGACACACTGTTTTACATGCATCAGAGCTTATACGCATAAGGACATCTAGTGAACATAAATATTCACCATCCCAATTACTCATGGGTCATAAGCCAGACATATCCCATCTAAAGACTTTCGGGTGTGCCGTATATGTACCGATTGCTCCACCACATAGAACAAAGATGGGACCTCAAAGGAGGATGGGAATATATGTTGGATTTGATTCTCCCACCATTATTAAGTATCTAGAACCAACTACGGGTGATCTATTTAAGGCTAGATACGCGGATTGTCATTTTAATGAATCCGAATTTCCTACTATAGGTGGAGAGACGAACAAGCTGGGTAAAGCAATAAAAGAAATATAATGGAATCAAACATCCTTAAATTGGCAAGATCCTCGGACTCTGACATGAGAATCAGAGGTCCATAAGATTATACATTTGAAAAGCTAGCTAATCAATTGCCAGATTCCTTTGCTGACCCAAAGAAAGTTACAAAAACGTACATACCAGCTTGTAATGCACCAGTACGTATTGATATCCAAAAGGGAATCAATGAAATTGCTACCGAGTCTAACACACGAAATAAACGTGGTAGACCAATAGGTTCCAAAGATAAAAATCCTCGAAAATCAAAGAAAGGTGCAGTAGGAAACGAGGTTAGGAAACCATAGACATGGCCGCGGCAGACCCTAAGGAACCGAATAGAGAGATTTGGGACGCCAATCCTCATGGTCCTGAAGGGATAGATAATAATGAGATCTCAATAAATTATATCATGTCTGGAATAAAATGGAACCGCAAAGATGTCGACATCGATGAAATATTTGCATATAAGGTAGCACTTGAAATGAATGAGGATCATGAACCCACGTCTATATTAGAGTGCACTCAAAGATCAGATTGGCTAAAATGGAAAGAAGCCATAAACGTGGAGTTAAGTTCAGAGATAAAACCTAGGACACAAGTGGGTCTTTGTGAGAAAGAGAAATGAGAATAATAAAGCGTGAGATATAAGGCACGGCTTATAGCACAAGGATTCTCACAAAGACCGGGGATAGATTATGAAGAAACATACTCCCCTGTGGTGGATGCTAAGACATTTAAATTTTGCTAAGTCTGGCTATATATAAAGAAAAAGACTTGATTTGTGGCTAATGGATGTAATGTCTGCATATTTATATAAGTCCACTGGATAATATATATGAGATTACCAGAGGGTATTGAGCTCAAAGATAAAGATAAGAAAGGGTCTCGAGACCAATACTGCATAAGGCTGAACAAATCGCTTTATGGACTGAAACAAAGTGGACGCATGTGGTACAATAGATTAAGCGAGTACCTAGTCAGAGAAGGTTATAAGAATGATCCCATCAGTCCATGTATCTTCATAAAGAAATTTGCAAACAAAGGGTTTGTGATAATAGCAGTATATGTGGATGATTTAAACATCCTTGGAACCTCTGGGGAAATCGCCCAAACAGTCGAATATCTAAAGAAAAAATTCGAGATGAAAGACCTAGGCAAGACAAATTCTGTTTGGGATTGCAACTTGAGTACGTGAATAATGGAATCCTTGTGCATCAAAAGGTATATACTGAAAAAAGTACTCAAGAGATTCAATATGGACCAGGCCCACCCATTGAGCAGCCCAATGGTGGTGAGAAGCCTCAGATTGGATAGTGATCCATTCGGTCCAAAGAAGGACGAGGAAGAAGTTCTCGATCCTGAAGTGCCATACCTTAGTGCCATAGGAGCATTAATGTACTTGGCTAGCCACACTAGACCAGACATATGTTTTGCCGTGAACCTCCTTTGTCTAAATTTAGTTCATGATCAACCCAAAGGCACTAGAAAGGTTTGAAGGAAGGTTTGGTTAAATTTTAAATTCTATTCTTCCTTTGTTTGTTTATTTGGGTTTTATTCTATACTGATCTAACCAAAGAAGGTCTAGTTTGCTTTGGTTTAGTTTGTTTTGCTGATGCAGGTAAAATCAGATTATGGCATGGTCAATAAATAGGAACTACGTGTGGCTTGATCCCTTCCAAGGGTACGTAGGCAGCCTTTTTCAAGGCGCAGCTACTACAACATCAAAGACCATCATATGAGGAGACAACACAGCTTGTATCGCTCAGCTCAAGGACGGCTACATCAAGGGAGATCGGACGAAGCACATTCTAACAAAGTTCTTCTTCACGCATGACTTGCAAAGGGATGGAGAAGTTCAAGTGGTACAAGTTCGGTCCAGCGACAACTCAGCTGATCTGTTCACCAAGGCATTACCAACATCGACATTGAAGAAGCTCACGCATCAAATTGGAATGCGGAGACTTAAGGACTTTCAAGGATGACCAAAACAGGGGGAGTAATACGTGCTGTACTCTTTTTCCTTCACCATGGTTTTGTCCCAATGGGTTTTCTTGGTAAGGTTTTAATGAGGCAGCATCCCCCAAGCGTATTACTGAGATCCTTTTTGGCATCTACACGGTTATGTCATCCAAAGGGGAGTGTTATAAATCACATGTTGGATGGACTCCATAACCGTGGGCCTTATCCGTATTCTAGAAGGCCCATGTCCATGTCCTAGAAGGTCCATGCCCATGTTCTAGAAGACTCTCCTTATGACGGTCTATTTTATACTTAGTGGGCTTTTGGGCTTTAGGGTTTACTAGCCCAATGGGGATTTGTCTCCCCTCATTATGTATATATATGTAACGAACCTCATTCATTAATAGTGAGAACAACAAGTTTTATAACACAACTACTTTTTTTTTTTAAGTAATTCATTTTTTTTTTTACTTTTTTGTAGACGAACGAAACTCTATCAAAACTCGGGACTAATTTTTTCTACCAAAAAAAAAAAAAACACTCAGACTAATTTTTTCTCTGCAACAATCATGAAAATTCTGAAGGCTTATTTGACAATTTAGGACGCTCTCTCTCTCTTCTCCCTCTCTGAATCTTTTAGAGAGAGAATGCGTTCTTCTTCTTGCCGTCCGGTGTTTATCCGGCTATATGTCCGGCATCTTCCGTTTTCCACAACGGTGATGGTCGGCTCTCGTCTGGCACCGATTGGCTTCTCCAGCAACGGTGGCTAGCTCCTGCATCGATCAGCTTTTCTAGTGGTGATGGCCGGTTTCGTTTCTCTTTACTTTCTAAATTTGTTATGTTTTTGCTAATAATCTCATTGGATCTATGTTGGGGATGATTATCTGTCCGTTAGCGGTAGTTCTTCTCCAATATGTCTTTTGAGTTTTTAGATCTGGATTGTTTCTTGTCTCTTCAAGATGGGTTTCGCCGGATCGTTTTCTTTTGAACTCGGGTTTGCAGAATGGTTTCAAGGAGATTTCCATCTTATGTTGAAGGATAGAAGATTCTTCCGTCGCTTATCACGATGCCTTAAGCTGTTATCTTTTAATTTGGAGCTTCGATGTCTTCATTCCGGTGCAAAACACAAGAATCAACGTTTGATTTCATATCAGCGAAGATTTCTTACCGGAATCGGCGCTCAACGGCGAAGGTTGTTGCCGGAAAACTTTTGATTACTCATCCAGCGTGTGATGTGGTATATCCGGTTGTCGACACGTTCCATGGATGGAGTTCAGATAGAATTGCTTCTGCAGAAGTCTGGTTATCTGATGGGCCTTTCTTGGGCTTCTTTATTTCTGTAAATCTAAAGTTGGGGCTTTGTTTAAGCCTTTGTATGATATGGTCAATCTTAATAAAATCCTATCTTCGAGTTAAAAAAAAAAATTGTAAAAAGTTTCTCAATTTTAGGACATATAGGCTTCTCAAATATTGTTATATATAGATAGCTTAGAGCATGAAGAATCTAGTTGAACAAACTATCAAAATCGTTTCACATACATGCTTCTTTATTGATGATTCTCAAGAACAATGTTGACGACTCATAAGACATTGCTATGCACATAGAAACAAACACAAATAAGCTTCAAATATCAGATTAACCATGACCTTGTTCTGAAGATTGTAGCAACTAAAAAATAGACCTCTGTGAATCAGGTATGAAGCAGTCATTCCCAAACCAGAATCAAAAGGCTATGGTTATAGTATCTCAACAACACCTCGGCTCACGATTTTGCCTTCATTGAGATCTTGAAATGCTTTTCCTGCATCTTCAAACTTGTATTTACTTGAGACTGCGTTTGTCAGATTGAAGATTCCTGACTCTGCCAATTTCACTACTTTAGGAAGATCCTGTCTTGCTCTTCCTCCATATGACCCTATAACTTTTATCTTTACAAAAATTGGAAAAACAAAACAAAAAGAGATTCAATATCATGGTCGTAAAAGACATTTTCAGCACCAGAGACTTTCTTCCAAGTAGGCCGAGAGATTATGAACCCAAACCTTTCTACGAACAAGTCGGTTTATGTCAATTTCTCCAACGGAACCAGCTTGAGAGAGTCCAATCATCACAGCTTTCCCACCATCTTTCACACTTAGTGTGCACTGCATGAAAGTTTGAGGCTTTCCCAAGGCTTCAACAGCAACATCAACACCCATTCCACCGGTTATTTCCTATGAAGAAGAAACAGTTTTTCATATTGATATCAATCAATGGTTCATCTTCACAAGGAAGAGGGCTTGAATCAACCATACTCTTATCCTGTCAACAGCATCTTCTTTAGCAGCATTGACAATATGGGTAGCACCAAGTGTCTTGGCCTTCTGCAATTTATCATCCTGAACATCCACAGCAATTATATCCGAGGCTCCAAAAGCCCTCGCTATCTGCAAACAACTGAAGCAACAACTCAAAGATGGTTATGGTCATACAAGAAGCAACCAAACGCAAATCCGGTAAAAAACAAAAAATGCCACACATTTAACATTACCTGGAGCCAACACCACCAATTCCAATAACCGCAATAGAATCTCCAGGACGGATCTCAGCAGCATGAGCCATAGCACCATATGCTGTAAAAACAGCACAACCTAGAATTGCAGATTCAGTGTAGGGCAAAGAGTCTGGTAGAGGAGCTAACCCGTGAGCTGGTGTGACACAGTACTCAGCCATCCCTCCCATACTGTACATATACACTGGTGAATCTGCCGCAAAATGAGAAATGTAATTAGGCAAAAACAATCATGTTTCTCCTAACATGCCACCTGCTGTAAAAAAAGCCTAATCAAGATTCAAAATTTACCATCATTTCGCAAAAAGAGACGAGTCTCGCCATCGTAAAGAGTTCCCTTAGCTCTGTTGTAAGCAAAGAAGTCTTCACATAGATCATCATGGCCCTGTATCCAACCAAGTAAGAGTATCAGCTAAAAAGTTACAGTTCTCAGATTAGAGAATCCGATGAAAGCACTACAATTTCCTCCTCACCTTAGCACAATAAGAACAGGTTCCACAAGGCATAATGAAAGCTCCAACTACACGAGAGCCGATTGGAAATCTGAAAAAGTTGAGACATTCAGGATTATAATCAGAACATATGATTCCATTAGCGTTGAGGTGAAGTAAAGTTGAAGAACCTATTAATGATCTTGTGATCAGTAAGTGGACCGTGTTCAACAACTTCACCAGTGATTTCATGACCAATTACACAAGGACTAGCAAATGGTATCTCTCCTTTCATCACATGAAGATCAGAGTGACAAACTCCACACGCTGCCCACAAAATAAAATGAACATTAACTTTCAAATTCGAATCCTTTGCGTCAACAGTGATTTCAATCTCTAGATTCAGCCAAATTCCAGAATAATGGAGAAGAAATTTATATACCTTTGGTTTTGATGAGAATTTCATTGGCTTTGGGGCGGGGAATATGAAATTCTTCGATGGTTAGAGGCTTGTTGGGCTCGCGATACACGGCTCCACGCATGAACCCGCCGGAGCTCACGTGATACCCAGACGTGGATTGAGAATCATCGCCGGAGGCTCCGGTTTGAAGAGACCTAGTGGAGAGAGAGGAAGAGGCAACAGCGAGTCTAGTTAAGGACAAGAGGTTCTTAGCGGCGGAGGCGCGGCGGAGAATCGGAGCAAACGCCATGCAAACACGACGGAGGAATTTGATCGGAGTTTTGGGCAACGAAAGAGACACTTGACAATTGACACGATCGAGAGAGATCTGTTAACACTTTGATTGATTACACCACGCGCTTAGCCAGAATTTACAAAAAGAGTCTCTGGTAGTGTTACTCACGCGCCGATTGTGCGTGTGTAGATGATTTGTATCCATTTAAGGATGTCCAATCCTGGGGTCAACATCCACGTGTATATCTTATCTACGAAATTGAGATATGTATTAACACCTTTTTAAACTAAAGTTTCTGAAATTTAGAAAATAACAATTTGGGAATTTATTTCATTAAACATAATTAGATGATGAATTGCTGCTGCAAGAAACCTTAAAAGTTTAAATTATAGAACCAAAAAAAAAAGGATTTTCTTACAAAGCCAAAAAAAAATAGAAGGAAATATTTACTTGGCTCTAAGACCAGGAACATTTTTGAGACCCATCTTACCAAGAATAAGTTTTGGTATAGCCGGAGGATTGTCAAGTCCCATACTACGACTAAACTCGTTTGCCAACTCCACAAGCCTGTCTTTGTCTCTTCCAATCATCTTCTGTGAGTTGTAGTAACCCAACCAAGCCTGATACGCCGCCTCCTTGTTCCTCATCTCAACATGGCAAAGCGCCTTTTGCACCTGTTTGTTCAAATTTCAAAATGTTCAGTTTCTCATACCCATCAGCTAATAAAGTCTTTTCTATTTCCAACTTAAAGGAGGCTTGGCATTGGTAGTGCATTTTAGATTCCAACTTCTATCTCCTTGAAGCAAAGAAAGGCTTTGCAAAGATCAGTGAAATATGAAAAAGGCTTAACCTTTTTCACAGTTTCTGGGTCTATTGATGGCAGAGGAGACTTAGTGATAGGTAAATCTTTAAGAGATGATAGAAAGCATTCCTCCCATGGTGCCAACAACAATATGCCTTCTCCTTCCTTTCCTTTTCTTCCGGTTCTACCAAGTCTGTGTATATATTGTTCTCTGTCTTTAGGCAATCCCACCTGTACAAGTGAATAAAATGTATACAATTTCTGTAAATCCCAAAATAAAAGCTTCTTATTGAAGTAGAGGTTGAGGTAACAGTTTTATACTATTGTCTGAATGATTTTACCTGTAAAACAAGGGTCACATCAGGGTAATCGACTCCTCGAGCAGATACATCAGATGTTACCAGAATCAAACCCTTGGATTTTCGGAACTCATTAGAAACCCTCGTCCTGTAACTCTGCGGTTTTCTAGAATGGATCTCTCTCACATTTAAGTTTATCTCACCTAGTAGATCAGCCACTAATTTTGTAACCATGGCAGTTGTACAGAAGACAATGACCTTGAGGAACCAGAGTTAAGTCAGGAAGGATAAACATAAGTCACCGTGGTCTGCAACTGATGCTGGTAAGATTTTCATACCTTATAGTCTACGTTATCCATAATGTGTTCGCGAAGAAGTGTGTACAGAAGAGAGAAATGTCTGTCCAGTGATGCAATCATGTGCATTTGTCTGACCTGTTGATGTGTCTCTATAGTGCCTTCGTGAACACAATTGACAAACTCGTGATCCCGCCTCAGAGCAACAAGGCATATTTGGCGAACCTTTACACCAAAAAAAAACACAAATCAAGACCCATTACAAAAAGGGAGTATCACAACGAACACCAAAACCAAATGAATTATGCAAGAAAATGAGATAAACCTCTTCAGGTACTGTGGCAGAAAATAGAAAAGTTTGTCTCTCCTTAGGAACAGCGGAAATTATCCTCTCAATGTCCTTGCGAAAGCCCATGTCTAAAAGATGATCAGCTTCATCAAGCACAAGGACTTTCACACCCTTTAACCTTGTTGCAAAGCCTGGCGTGTTCTCGATATGGTCTTTGAGCCTTCCAGGTGTAGCCACTAAAATCTGAAAATTCCGATATAACACATCTCATATTGAAGACGCAAATATTGAAGGAACTTTTAGGATTCGCTCGAAGTTCATTATTAAACCCATAAGGAATGACAAACAATTGTCACCTGGCAAGGATTTGTTTGCATACGCTTTTGCTCTAAACCAAGTCTAGTGCCTCCAATCACAACTTGAACACCAATAGATGGATGATACTTTAGCAAGGTGTTTGCTTCTGTTGCAGCTTGATTGGCAAGTTCTCTAGTTGGGCATATCACAAGCGCAAGAATTGGGGGTCGCTTATTATCCGGGCTTGTAGGAGGAGATTTGACAACTACTTCAATTGATGGAAGCTTAAAAATAAACATCAGCAATAAGCACAGATCCCAATATAGGATGAATCCATTACCAAATGGCCAACTTAGTGTATGGTATGTCTCACCAAAAACGCTACAGTTTTCCCAGTTCCTGTTTTGGCCTTAGCTAGGACATCTTTACCTGGAAAAATCAACCAAAGAAACCAACGAATTACTGTAGAATATAAAAGATATAAAATGAAAGTCCTTGCATATTGAGGAACCTCATAGATTCTAGCTCAAAAAAGGTTCACAAAGTTTCTAAGCTTTTCTTTCTGCTACTGGAATGCCTAGTGAAACAGGAGGTGATCATGTAAAGCTTGGTAGAATCATAATTTATAAATCATGGTGTTATTTCCTTAATGCATCGTTGATCCAATAAGCACCATAAAGAAAAACAAATACCTTTGAGAATTATAGGGAGAGTAGCTTCCTGCACAACAGTCATTGTCTCGTATCCAGCATCCTTGATGGCTTTTAGCGATAAGGGAGACAATGGATACTGATCAAATCTGTTAACATATATACAGAATAGAATAACTCTAAATCAGACAGTACCAAGTAGTCAAGATTTCCAATCAAGCAAAACTCCAAGGTTGATGTACACTCTATGAATTCAACAGCACAAAGAAGAAACTAGATTTGCAACATGTTTGTTTGTTTACCTTGTCTTAGTCAAATAAGAATCATTTGCATTCCTTGCCATATCCGCTTCTGTAACCTTCTCCTTATCAAACCCAAAAGCAGAAACCGCTTTCTTCTTAAGAAATTCATAATCTTCGTCCTCTTCCTCATCATCTTCACTAAGCAAATCCCCAATACCTCCCATTACTAAACTCTTCACATCCTCATCACTACTTTCGTCTTCCAGAATATCTTCCCGTTTCCTTAAACCCTTGTAGTCTGCTTTATCTCTATCTCTCCTAAAACTTGTGTCTTTCCTCCCATCAAAAGAAGCTTGACTACTCTTTCCCTGAATCCGACTATTGAATCCCCTTTCTCTATCACCACCATAACGCTTATCCCTAAAAGAATCAACTTGGTTGCGAATTCCTCTCTTCTCTTGAATTCTTCCTCTGCTACGATCCTCCACGTTTGGAACCGCATCTTCATCTTCACTCGTGAGACGTCCACGCGACGATCCGGTTCTAAAACCGCTTACCCAATTGCTGAGCTCTTCCTCGTCTTCGATCAAGCTCTTTGCCGCGCGAATTTCTCCTCCATCTCGAATCCGCCGCTCAAATTCGGGTTGGTCTCTGTTCGGACGGGTTGAGAAGTTGATGCGAGACCCGAATTCGAAGTGATTCAACCTAGAAGAGAATATCCGGAAGATCAAAGGGACGGAGCTAGAGGGATTATAAGAGAGATGAGTACCCGGAAGAGAGTGAGTGAAGAATCGTATTCGGAGAGGGAACTTCAAAGGCATGATTTTAGATATAATAACGGAGTTTCGTCGTCGCCGGTGGCCGGAAAACTGGAGGCAAGTAAGGGTTCAGTGAGTGAGGCTTTTCGAGTTTCAGTGGTTTAAGGAATAGAGAAGAGCCGTTAAAACGACAGCGTATACGCCGACGTGTACTCGTATGCTTAAATATGAAAACGCCAGGTCGTTCTTTTGCTTTGAATTGTTCGGAGAAAAGGAATTTGGAAGCGACGGCGTGTCGTCATGTCCTGGAATGTGGAAACGGCAGGTCGTTTTTTTCACACGAAGTTTTGAATTCTTGGACCATAGTTAGTTCATGAATTTATCATACGTATTAATTTGATTGACTGATTGTTTTAATTAATTGTTGTACTAGATGATTTATGGGAAAAGGGCCTATTTCTACCCCTACTATTTGGACGGTTCCATTTCCTAGCCACACAACGAGTTGGTGCTTATTTCAACAGTTTTCGTAACAAATTTCAAATTAACTACCCATACTCTGTGTTTATAGTTGATTTCAACATTGACTCAAACGGACGTTAGTCAACCGTTAAATAAGAAGAGTCGAATGACACGGTGGCAATTCAAAAGAGGAAAAAGGTCCTATTTTCACCCTTACTATTTGAACGGTTCCTTTTCCTACACACACAACGAATTGGTGCCCATTTCAACAGTTTTTGGAACAAATTTCAAATTAAGCAGAATATCGAGCTATGGGATCGCTCACTGCTGAGCTCTTGTGGATCAAAGGTTTGTTGACAGATCTTGGAGTTGTGATGAAACGTCCAATGAGCGTGTTTTGTGATAGTCAAGCTGCGATCCATATTAGTGCTAATCTGGTATTCCATGAGAGGACTAAACATGTTGAGGTTGATTGTCATATTGTGCGGGATGAGATTGTTAAGGGTACTATTTCAACGTAACATGTTTCGACTCATGCACAGCTGGCTGATATCTTCACCAAAGCTTTGGGACAGAAAGAGTTCAAAGATTTTCTCAGCAAGTTGGGTGTTCTTAATCTACACTTCCAACTTTAGGGGGGGGGGGGTAATAGGGCCGGATCAAACCCTTGATATCAGGCCTATGATTAGAATCGGATCAGGCCTTTGATTATGGACTTTATTAGGTTTAATATTTATGTAATTAGGGTTAGTGTTCCCTAACTAGTATATATATGTATGTATAGTGACACTGAATTACAATGTATATATGATATATATTTAAAAAATAATTTAGATCTTGGTAAATTGGTAATTAGATCTCATATAACTTATATAGTTCATGGCTAATGTCAATTATTCAAGATAATTCAAAAACCTAGCAGATCAAAAACACATCTGTATATATTTAAAGGAAATTTTCAACTTTACCATTAAAAAACAGAGCGGACCAATTATTAGTGAGCATTCCCATAGCTCGATATTCTGCTTAATTTGAAATTTGTTCTAAAAACTGTTGAAATGGGTACCAATTCGTTGTGTGGGTAGGAAAAGGAACCGTTCAAATAGTAAAGGTGGAAATAGGACCTTTTCCCTCTTTTGAATTGCCACCGTGTCATCCGACTCTACTATTTTAACGGTTGACTAACGTCCGTTTGAGTCAATGTTGAATTCAACTATAAACACAGAGTATGGGTAGTTAATTTGAAATTTGTTACGAAAACTGTTGAAATAAGCACCAACTTGTTGTGTGGGTAGGAAACGGAACCGTCCAAATAGTAGGGGTGGAAATAGGCCTTTTTCCCGATGATTTATTATGACCTAACTGGTTTACCATGATTTATATCCACCTAACATTCACTCGACTGCAACTCTTGTAATCATCATTCTGAACTTCAATAATAATAGTATTTGTTACTCAATCTCGATTTCTCCTTTTTTTATTCTCCAAAATTTTGCCGGATCATATGGAAATCTTTACGGTAATCTCCAAAATTTAGAGAGCCAATATTATAATGATATAATCAGTTTTACTATATATATATGTACTTTTTTCTCATTGTACATAATAGTAAAAACTTGTGTGAAGTTCAAGAAAGCATACAATTATAAAATCTGACAATCTTATATTGTTAAATCAGGGGCAGAGGTATATTGTTATTATAGGGTCAATTGACCCCTATGGATTTGTAGAAATTTTTAATTTACTTGTAATATTCTAAGCAAAATTTAGGAAAATGGTTTAAAATATGCTTATTGACCCCTAAAAAATATTGTTCAAAACAGATTTTTAGTTTTACTATAAAAATTGACCCCTACCAAGACAATGGCTGCCTCCGCCACTGTTGTTAATGGAAAAAAAGAAAAATATTGATATGTGTATTTTACTGGTAACGAAAAAATAATTCGAATATTTGTTTAACAAAATTAAATAACTTGGGTTAAGTTTTAGGAATGTTTCCGAAAATAGTATCGGTGTCGTTGACGCCGTTAACGTCTTTAACGGAGACGATGAGAAATTGGAAAACAAAACAATAGTTTGTTTTGTCAACTACTCCTATAAAATAGATTTGATTTTTTTCGGAGAACGAAAAAAGTTAAAAAAAAATTTCTTGCCAATTTTAAATAGTTAGGTTTTTTTATAGAATTTTCTCTCTAAAAAAATAATGATAATGAAATGCATATGCTGAACGCATACAACCACAAAATAGTTTTGTTTTGTAGCTTTTCAGTTTATTTACCAGACCAAAAAATTTGAACTAAACTAGAGAATTTATGGATTTTGTCTAATGCCTTTACACGATATGGATTTTTTTTAGAAATACAATATCTATATGAAATGTAACAGATACTGAATTATTTTAGAAAACATGTTGTCGAAAAAATAAAAAAAATTGGCAAAAAAACAAATATCAAAGTAAAAGAAGTTGCTAGAATAAAAAAAGTTCCAAAATTGTAGCATTTTTCTGTCCAAATCCAAACTATAAAAAAGAGACTTTATATTATACTGTAATACCAATGAAATCACGGGACGTTTCTGGTAAAAAAAAAAAAAAAAAAAACAGAGATTTTATCGGATGGGATGTGTCGTAATGAAAGGGGTAAAACACGTGGCAGTCAACCAGGCTGTCAGTTGTTGGTTAAAGCAGACAAGCGCGTGACTTTAATATAATCTCTCTTTCCCCGCGCCAACAATACTTTACCAAGACAGATCTCTCATGGCGGTGCTCTGCTGCTTCAGCCTTTGATTTTTTCTTCTTTTTTACCTTTTTTTATTTATTTTAATCTCTAATTATATTAGTCAGTACAAAATCACTGTTGTTTACGATTAGTTTAAGGAATTAATCTAATCTGATTTTAAGGAATTAATCTATTTGCCAAAGAAGAGGCGCAAAGGCTCCGTCCTTTTTCTTCTCCTTGTTTCTGTGTTACCGATCTGGCTCTGTCTTCTTCTTCTCCTTCTTCTTCACGTATCTGTGAAATGCTCAAGCTGATTAGGGTTTATCAACTCTTTCTTAACTTTCTTATTATTGCCTTCGTTATCCTCTCCGTCTTCTCAGGTGACTAAGGGGATTTTTTTTTTTGGTTCACTCTTTCGTTATCCACTTGATTGTTTGTTTCCTGTTTGCTTTTTGATTGGAGATCTATTTTTGGGTTCAGATTGTTATCGACAGCTAGATTCTTTTATTGGATCAAAGTATCCGTTTTTATTTGATTTGTTCCGTCTTCTTCGTGATCGTGTTTGTATCTGTCTCTCTCCTAGATTTGGGTTTTGGGGGTTTGGGTATGTGTTGTTTGTGATCACAAGGGACCTTTATCGTTTAGTCATCTCTTTGATACAGAGACACACTAAAATTGGAGAAAATGATAAAAAAAAAAAACTTTTTTATTGGAGGAGGGAAGAAATCTTCTTACGTGTTCCATTTACTCTATCAACTTCTTCTTAGACATTTGTTTCTGGCTTTAAGATCGACTGGTTTCTGAACATTTCATGCTTTAGGAAGTGTAAGTTGAAAGCTTTTCTCTCTTAGCTCTCCAGTTGCTAAGTGTTTTTCTCTTGTATTTCTTAATTATCTTTTGGATTCTCACGGAATTTGATTGAGTTAGAGGGAAGAATAGAAAGAGAGAGAAGGAGCTTAGGCTATGTCTAGACTTGCTTATTTTGGAATACATGTGTCCTGAATCCAGCTGATATAGTCATATGATAGTAACATTCAATTTCTTTTGCCCTTTCATTGATTGCAGCTTTGTAGCTATTGTGTATTCGAATCTGTACGCGGAAGGAAAGCCTATAGAACAGTCAAATGTAGGTTCTCTTACTGATCTTTAGCTCCCAATCAATGCATAGAAGCTGCAATAACCTTTTAATGCTGTAAAACCTTTATATGCTGATCGACCACACTTTATTTTGGCTGTTTCTGATGTTCTGGCTTAATATATCTGTCCTCTTTGCTGTTCTTGTGATTAGCATGAACTAAGTATCTGACCTTGAAAGCAGCAAAAAGTGTTGTGGTTGGTCATGCTGAGAATCTTTTGGTGATAATTAATCTCTGGCTCATACAGATAACAAAATATGGCTGCGGAGCTTGTAAGTTCTGCAACAAGTGAGAAGCTTGCAGATGTGGACTGGGCCAAGAACATTGAGATCTGTGAATTAGCTGCTCGAGATGAAAGGTATGACGAGCCAGACTTTTTTTCTTTTAGTAAAAAGTGATATTTTTTTGCCAACTTATAAATTGTTGTTGGTATGATGTTTAATCATCTTCAATGATTGAGATAAATAAACACTTTACTTTTGCATCGTCTTGGACATACTTTTACTTTTTTCTTCGGGTAATGAGTTCTTCTGTTGTGGACAGGCAAGCAAAAGATGTTATCAAGGCTATCAAAAAACGCTTGGGAAGCAAGAACGCAAATACTCAATTATATGCTGTCCAGGTAGGTTCTGGTCCAGATCTATCGTAAACTATAGAATCATGCTTTATGAGAATGTCATACTTTTCAACGTTTTGGTAACTTAAACTGTTATTTTGTTTGTTCCCGCAGTTGCTGGAGATGTTGATGAATAATATTGGAGAGAATATTCATAAGCAGGTTATAGATACAGGTGTACTCCCTACACTTGTGAAGATAGTAAAGAAAAAAGTATGTTCATCTCTGTTTCAGGATGCTACTTCTCTACCAATTTGAGAGTTAATCTGCTTGTTTTAGTTTATTGTTTGGTTTGCATTTTTCGAACACTTTTTAGTCGGATTTGCCTGTAAGAGAGAGGATTTTTCTTCTTCTTGATGCAACTCAAACCTCCCTTGGTGGCGCTTCAGGGAAATTCCCTCAGTATTATACAGCATACTATGATTTAGTGGTGAGTTTAACACAAGAACATTCGAATTCCGTGATTCTGTTATTGAAGAAGCAATGTTAGATAAGACTCAGAGCTTTTCTTTTTGTTATCTTCTGTCTCCTCCAGCACGCAGGAGTTAAATTTACCCAGAGACCTAATGCTACACCAGTTGTGGTCACTGCTGAAGCTGTTCCGAGAAATACGCTCAATGAACAACTTGCATCTGCTAGAAGTGAAGGGCCTGCTACTACTCAGCTGCGAGAATCTCAAACTGTCTCTCCTTCGAGGTATCTTCTTCTCCACATGTCAGTTATCTAAATTTTTTAGCTGATGTTTAGAGACCTTATGCTGTTTTATCTCTTTGCTTATAGCATTTTACAAAAGGCTAGTACCGCATTAGAAGTTTTAAAGGAAGTGCTTGACGCAGTCGATTCTCAAAATCCTGAGGTATATAAAATACCTCTTGACTTTGTATAGTTACCTTCATTAAACAGACACTCTTTGGCTCCCTTTCAAATCTCTTAACCTGAGAATGACTCCAGTTTGATCAACTTTTGTCCATCCAGGGGGCAAAAGATGAGTTTACTCTTGATCTTGTCGAGCAATGTTCGTTTCAGAAAGAGCGCGTAATGCACCTCGTCATGACATCGAGGCAAATCTCCTTTCTCTCTTGGTTTAGAGGGCATGTTTAAAGAATTTTTCTTTTCAAGTATATCAACCAATTTTGTTTATGCAGGGATGAAAAAGCAGTTTCTAAAGCAATTGAATTGAATGAGCAACTTCAGAGAATTCTCAATAGACATGAAGATTTGCTGTCTGGCAGAATCACAGTTCCTAGCAGGTCTACTACATCCAATGGATATCATTCCAATCTCGAACCTATCCGTCCTATCTCAAACGGTCACAATAAACCCGAGCTAAAGGCTTCTAATGCAAATACCGAATCAAGCAGCTCCATTTCTAACCGAGCCCATCTTAAGCTTGAGGAAGAAGATGAGGAAGAGGAGCCTGAGCAGTTATTCAGAAGGTCTGTCCCCCCAATTACTCAATCTCGAATCGGAAATTACAAAGTTGATTGCCTCATAAGGTTCTTAGAATAAGAAATGGGTATCCTTGATGCTAAGACTAAGGTTCCATGTGAATATGCTTGCAGATTGCGAAAAGGGAAAGCTAGAGCAAGGCCTGAGGATGAAGAAGAGCCATCACCTCCACAAGGCTTACCTGGATCAGCAATCCATAACGAAAGACTTAACCGTCCACTTATTCGTCCTTTACCATCAGAGGAGGCATCACGCGGTGGTGATAGCCATTCGCAATCCCCACCTGTTGTGATTCCACCACCACCTGCAAAACACGTTGAGAGGGAAAAATTCTTCAAGGAGAAGAAAGTTGACGGTGCCTCAGGTTTACCAGGTCATATGAGAGGCCTTTCTTTGCATAGCCGTGATGGCAGCAGCTCACGCAGTGGAAGCGTAGACTTCAGTGACTGAAACAAACCAAAGCTCTCATCATCATATATATGTATTCTTTCACGCTCGTTTCTTTAGGTTTTGGTAATTTACAGATGGAAAAAGTTTGTGTTGTGTGTGCGGCTCTATCGCTCTCTCCCTCTCTCCCTCTCTCTCTCTCTCTAGTGTTGTGAATTTAGAATATAGCACCATGAGATCTGGTAATGTATACGAGTAAAGGTACTTCCTTTCACTATGTTCAAACCTGAGCTATGTTGTTACTGTTACTGTTTATGGATTGAAGCCGAATGTTCAAATGCTATCTTAATTTTATAGGATAACAAATTGATTTGGTCAATTGCGTAGATAAAATTTTAAAACTTGGAATTCACATAAACGTAAAGATACAAGGAGATTGAATATTAAACAACAGAGTGAGAGTTTCTTAAGCTTTGGGGGGATCTTGGCAAGAATGCGCCTCTTTGACATGCTTCTCGTATTCATCTTCTTCCTCCTCCTCCTCCTCTTCCTCTTTCTCTTCCTCTTCTTCTTCCACCTCGTCCTCCACATCTTCTTCATCTTCATCAAAGCCCTTAACGGCATTAGAAGACGGAGCTGGACTCCTTGCTTCTTCAATGATCTTCATTATGTCCTCTACGCTTTGGAGGGAAAAGCTCGGGGTTTCTCTCTTGTAGTACGCCGCTTGAGCAGACTCTGTAAGCTCCTTTGGCAAGTTCTTTAAGTACCATGGATGCTTCTTGATCTCTTTAAGTGTGATTCTCTGCATAAATTTATGACATCTCATCAAAAGATTGAAACATAGAAAAGACAGCTTAAACTCAGAGAGATGAGAAAGTACCTTAGCTGAATTAGTGACAAATATGCGAGAGAGAAGGTGTTTGCACTCCTGCGATATGTGAACGTAATCCGGGATCTTGTACTGGACAGCCATTATACGCTGCAGAACATTTTCACAACACCATAAAACACTTAGTAGAAGAACTGAAGTGAAAAAGACTGCTGTGAGGAATTTGAGGAGTTGGTTAATGCTTGGATTGTTTTCCTGAAGTTTCTCGGATCATCGGGGTCTTCAAACGGGTAACCTCCAACCAGCATCACACAAAGAGTCACACCACAGGACCAAACATCCGCATGCTACATAACACAAAAACCAAAGACTTCCATTAACAAGTGACAAATAAGGATCATTAGTCACGTTGTTGGCTGGGCGTCTCAAGGATATCCTCCCCCCATCATTAGTCACTCACAGTCTGCTTATATGCATGGTCACCTACTTTTGGAAATTGTGCACCTTGCTGCTGAGATTGTCCATGACTATTTTAAGAAGGCTATTGAGGCTAGTGCAATGCTTAAGGTATATTTGAGGAGGCTTTTGATTCGTTAAGATGGGACTTTATCATTTCTACATTAAGAGCTGTGAACCTGCCAGAAAAGTTCATTGGTTGGATTAAGCAGGAAATCTCCACTGCTAGCTTCTCCAATGTGGTCACTGGGCACTTTGGAGGTTTCTTTACAAGCACTAAAGGTATGCGTCAAGGCGACCCTATGTTTCCATATCTGTTTGTGTTGGCCATGAAGGTGTTCTCTAGACTGTTACACTTAGGGTATGACTCTGGCTATATTTCTTACCATTTGAGAACCTCAGCCCTGGAGGTCTCCCAACTAATGATCTTCTTTAATGGTGGGAGCTCCTCTCTGCGTGGTATATATGAAACTTTGGAAGATTTTGCTGGCCTGGCTGGTCTGGGATTCATATGAACAGAGAGATGACTCAACTATTCCACGCAGGTTCGAACCAACATGAATCCAATGCTTTGGCAAGCTATGGGTTCACCTTTGGGTATCTACCTATTAGATATGTGGGGCTGCCATTGATGAGTAGGAAGTTAAAAGGTGATGAGTATGGACCTTTGATTGAAAAGATCTCTTCTAGATGCAACTCATGGGCTTTCTAGTCTGTGTCTTTCGCAGGAAGAGCCCAACTTATTGCCTCTGTGATCTCTGGCACGATCAACTTATGGATTTCTACTTTTATTTTGCCTAAGAAATGCATCAGAAACATTGAGTCTTTGTGTTCTTGGTTCTTGTGGTCTGGTAGCCTTGACAAAATAGGAATGGCTAAAGTTGCTTGGTATCAGGTTTGCTTGCCAAAAAATGAAGGTGGTCTGGGGTTGTGGAGGATTGCTGCTTGGAATAGAACTTTGTGACTGCGCATGATTTGGCTACTCTTCTCAAATAGCGGATCCTTGTGGGTGGCTTGAAATAAGTACCATAACTGCAGCTTTATCACTAGTTTCCGGAAACAAGTTGAAAAAGCAAATGATTCATGGAACTGGAAGTGTCAGCTCAGGTTGAGAGATACGGCTGAGAGATTCATCAAATGCAACATTTGGAATGGTAGAAATGCTAGCTTTGGGTTTGATAATTGGAATCCCTTTGGTTCTCTTATCAAATATGTTGATATTGATGGGTCTAGAACTCTGAGAGTGCCATTGAATGCTAAGGTCTTTGATGTGTGATATTTTGAAGGTTGAAAAATTGCAAACCCGAGATCGGAGCAGGGTTTGAGTTTGCATATTCACCTAACTACCGTAAGCCAACCTACTGGGGACAAAGGACCCGACTCTTTTGACTGGGTGGTGGAGAATAAAAGCTGCAATGGGTTCTCTTCTTGGAATACCTGGTCTATTACTAGAATGAGGGTTGACTGGTGGGGTTCTGTTTAGTTCAAGGGATCCACGCCAAAGCACGCTTTTAACATGTGGATTGCAACCATGGACCGTCTTCCTACAAAGTCAAGACTTGCTGCTTGGGGAATGCATATACAAACAACATGTGGCCTCTGTTCTCTTTTTCCTTAGACTAGAGATCACTTATTGTTGTCCTGTGACCTTTGGAATGCAGTTAACACAAGGTTAAACCTGCATGCTATTCAATTCAGGTCATGGTCTGAACTCTTCTCCTGGACTAAAATGAAGAACTGAGGAAGCTAACTGCTCAGTCCGTCATCTACGCCATCTGGAAGCAGCGTAACGGCTTGCATCATAACCATGCTTATGTCATATATTCTGTGATCTTCAGAGACATCGACCGTAAAATAAAGAACTTTATCACTGCGAGAAGACTAAATAAGCGTTTCATGAGGCTTCTGAATCTTTGGTTGCATCTTTTTTACCAAAAGACCAATTGTATAGGTTACGCTCACTGTAAAAGTAACTCTTTCATTAGTAAAAAAAAGTAATTTAATATTGGGCTATATCTGCCTGGTGGCATAGAACAAGTAATGGACAGGCCCGGGCCTGAGGTTTCACAACTTTCCCAACGTTCCGTCTCTTAATTTGAGTTTCTCTTTTCCATGTGAACACAATTTTGTGTGAACACACATTATATTAATAATTTATTAAAAAGTATTTCAACTAGACTAATTGTAAAAGGACATGTGTAAAAAACGTTTTTTATGAGTACCTAAAACAAGAAGCGCCTCTATCACTCTCTCCTCCTTTTTCCATTTTCCCTATATTTTAATAGTTAGAGACTTGCTAGGTATGACTGTTGCTGATGCTCTTAGAAACCTAGATCGAGAAATACAAAAAAAAAAAAAAAGATGCGTAATCCACAAGGAGAACATGGCGATTCGGATTGAAGATGAAGGTGCGTATTTCCGTGCGCTGAGCAAGTATTGGCGTCAAGTGAATCATTCCGAGGTAATCCTTGTATCTTTTTATTGGTTAGAGGTTGATGTGTTCCAAAATATTCGATTCGCTTCTAGGGTGGGTTGATTTTTTTTATTTTTTAAATCTGTTTTACTGATTTGGTCTTAACTTAGGGTTTCGATATTATGTATAATTGTATAACATCTTAGTGTAAAATTATATTAGGGTTTTGATATCGAGGATGTCTCAGAACCACATGGTATCTGTGGACTGTTTCGTTACGACTGTCAACGCGAGGATACTAGGTATCCTAATCCTGTCTTGGTCGAGCGTTATGCTAGATTGGGGCTTCATCGTTACAATTTGTCCAAGGTAAAAAATAAGAACCTAGCTAGTCTCTTGGTGCTTACTTTATATCAACATGTTCAATAATTTATTTCTTAATAAATCTACCAGGGGACAAATTTCCAGCTACACCACCTAAAGAAATTTAACATGTCCATGAATTGCCTGTCCGATTACTACATAACTTTGGCTGCTTGCGATCCAGCTACCACTTCGCTCGCAACCTTTCAGGTTAAAGTTGGTGAAAATTGTTATGGCATATTGGATTTGACGTGCTATATTGCTAGGCCTCAAGGTAAATAAAGTTTTTGTTTTATAAGAGTCCGATTATAATTAAAATCGCACTTGCTGATTGATTAATAATAATACTGTTGCAAAGGTACCCCCAAGGAATCACCCAAACCTATAAATTTTGGACCGTCGTATGGTGATGGTAGTTTGCCTTATTGGCCGTCAGATTTCAATGATATACTACGATTTACTGTGGTAAGATTAAGACACAGTATCATGTTTTATTGCTTTTGCTTAACTACCGAGTGATATATGGTTAATTACTTTTGCAGCTCAAGGATTCAGAGTTGCAAGACAATGACTGGATTCGTCTATATTTGGAACTTGCACTTTGTACAAATGATAGGTGGATTTCAGATGTAAGTTTTTATCTTTCTGTTTTTTTTTTGACATATATACCATGAGTGGCACTGTTTTTTAATTAATAATCACTTGTTTTTTTTTTCTTTTCCTTCAAAACTGTTGTTCCTGCAGAGCTCTCTGTCCCAGTTGCAAATTGTGAGAGTGGCTATAGAAACTATTGGAGGTGTGGTGGAGCCGCCCAATGAGAGACTCCTAGCCAAAAGTGCAAATGTCTACATAACGTTTAAAGGCTTGTCCTATGCTCGGGTTGGTGAGATTGGTGAGCATGTTGAACGCAAAATCATCGTTCGCAGAGTCCTCGATGAGCTCACAGGGTACTTGACTCTCCAGGGTGGGTTTGGCTATTTGTTTGGAGAAGAAGCAGCTGTGGAACGTTCTATGACTCGCTCGAGCTTTGCTTTCGATGATGAGCTGCCTCCTATCACTCTCCCGACTCGACCAATTAATCTCCACCTCTACAAATGGAAATAATGAGCCGAGTTCTATAAAGCTAATCAGAGCTGCGAAGAAGAAACCCAAAATCCAAATAAGGTTTTTTTTTGCTGGTGTAAGGATCTGAAGATGAGAAAAGACACATTTTTCTCAGAGATTCATGTAAAAAATAGTAGCTTTGCAAGAATTTTAGGGCAAGAAAGGATAAAACTACACTCAAAAAGTTTCAGTTTTTTTTTTTTTCTCTACTACGGCTAATGGCTATGAAGATGAGAAAAGACACATTTTTTCACAGAGATTCATCTTCAAAAATAGTAGCTTTCCAAGAATTTCAGGGCAAGAAAGTATAAAACTACACTTTAAAGTTTCAGTTTTTTTTTTTCTCTCTATGGCTATGAAGATAAGGAAAGACATTTTTTTTTTCCGACATTTTTTTTTTCAGAGATTCATGAAATATCTGGTTATGTATACGAGTAAAGGTACTTCCTTTCACTAAGGTACTTATTTACAGAGGTTGTTGTTACTGTTACTGGTTATGTATTGAGCCGAATGTTCAATGTTATCTTAATTTTTTAGGATAACTAATTGATTTGGTCAATTGCGTAGATAAAATTTTGAAACTTGGAATTCACATAAACGTAAAGATACAAGGAGATTGAATATTAAACAACAGAGTGAGAGTTTCTTAAGCTTTGGGGGGATCTTGGCAAGAATGCGCCTCTTTGACATGCTTCTCGTATTCATCTTCTTCCTCCTCCTCTTCCTCTTCCTCTTCCTCTTCTTCTTCCACCTCGTCCTCCACATCTTCTTCATCTTCATCAAAGCCCTTGACGGCATTAGAAGACGGGGCTGGACTCCTTGCTTCTCCAACGATCTTCATTATGTCCTCTACGCTTTGGAGGGAAAAGCTCGGGGTTTCTCTCTTGTAGTACGCCGCTTGAGCAGACTCTGTAAGCTCCTTTGGCAAGTTCTTTAAGTACCATGGATGCTTCTTGATCTCTTTAAGTGTGATTCTCTGCATAAATTTATGACATCTCATCAAAAGATTGAAACATAGAAAAGACAGCTTAAACTCAGAGAGATGAGAAAGTACCTTAGCTGAATTAGTGACAAATATGCGAGAGAGAAGGTGTTTGCACTCCAGCGATATGTGAACGTAATCCGGGATCTTGTACTGGACAGCCATTATACGCTGCAGAACATTTTCACAACACCAAAAACACTTAGTAGAAGAAGTGAAAAAGACTGCTGTGAAGAATTTGAGGAGTTGGTTAATACTTGGATTGTTTTCCTGAAGTTTCTCGGATCATCGGGGTCTTCAAACGGGTAACCTCCAACCAACATCACATAAAGAGTCACACCACAGGACCAAACATCCGCATGCTACATAACACAAACACCAAAGAGTTCCATTAACAAGTGACAAATAAGGATCAGACCATTGAAGAAGACATGAATAACATTACCTTTCCGTCATATTCTCTTCGGGAAAGAACTTCAGGTGCGATGTAAGCTGGAGTCCCAACAGTTGATTTAGGTCTAGAGTGAAGCAGAGATGACTACACAAGAAGAAATGGAAACATATGACTTATGAGATCAAATCTAAGTAAAACTGGGAACCATAAATGAAACAAAAGAAGAAAAAAAGACTAATGAATGAATGAATGACCTTGGAGTAACCAAAATCACAGATTTTCAGAAGCGGGGCAGGGCTACCATCAAGCAGTGTGTTCTCAAGCTTCAAATCTCTATGACATATTTGCTACATAAACATATAAAAGATTACACAAAACGAAGCAAAGATCTTTCCTTTTCACATTCATGAGATTTGGTTTAGTTATGTTAATAAAATACCAGTGAATGACAGTAATCCACGCCACAAATCAGCTGCTGAAAGAAGTATCTAGCCTGAGAAAATAGCAAGATGGAGAAACATATATCTAGAATTTGTCAAAAAATCGTATAAAGAACCAAGATAGGATTTTGAGAAAGGAGCATATATCACACCTCAGCTTCACTGAATCTACCAGCATTACAGATTCTTTCAAAGAGCTCTCCTCCAGAAGCATACTCCATTACAATAGCAAGATGAGTTGGAGTCAGAACCACCTACAAAATCACTCTGTTTTTAAGTTCCTTAATCTCAACTAAAGTACTAAAAGATTATGCACAAATCAACAAACCTCCTTGAATCTGATGATATTAGGATGCCTAAGTGATCTATGATTGATAATCTCTCTCGCAACATTCTCATCAATCTGCATTCCAACATATTACCATCAAAATGTCAAATCATAATCCTCAATCATCCCAAAAGTTGAAGACTTTCGCCTAATTTCTAACCAATCAAAGAAAGTTCAAAACTTTTTTCTGAGAAACCAAAGAGGAAAAAGATCAAACCTTGCGACCTCTCTCAATATATTTCATGGCAACGAGTTCTTTAGTCTCTTTGTGTCTAAGAAGACGAGCCACACCAAAATTCCCAGCTCCCAAATCCTTCACAACCTCATACTTATCCATCTCTTCTTCCTCAAAACCAATTTCAAGCTTTGCAAGTGAGTGTGTATATATTTACGTTGAGAAAGTGTCACACTTGGAGTTGAGTTCGTTTCAGAAAATGGGTCATCTTATAAAGCGTTGTTTTCATGGGGGAATCTGAGAAAACTCCCACACTTGAGCGTATACTTACACTCATGTGTATGTATCGATGATGGAGGAGTAAACGGAGGAGATGGGTATGGAAGTGAGGCACGTGAAGAGGTTGCTCGATTTCCGATGACCAGCTTCACTTCAATCCAACGGTTATTAATTATTCTCTAATTGGATATTAGTAAATTAATTTTTATAAACCACTCTTCCTTGTTTCATAGTACTAATTAATTATTCAATCCTTACGCGGGGTAACGCGATTTAGTAGAGTCGAACTCCGGTGGGGAAGGTGGAGTCAAGTGGACTTAACCACTTGACTAAAGGCACATCCCCCGTAAATTAATTTTTATAAACCACTCTTCCTTGTTTCATAGTACTAATTAATTATTCAATAAATCGTTAGATTATGCCAATAATTTAAAAGCTAAACTGAATTTTACTAAGTTTCAAAAATAAATTAATCTGGTTAGTAGTAAAATTTTATTTTCTTTTGTCACCATTCGTATTAGTCTAAATAATTAAGACATGTAATGTAATGATTTGCACTTAATTACACCTTCATTGTGTTTTACTAATTTTCAAAGTTTACCTCATTTTTATGTGCATAATCTACTACGTAGATCATATAAATTTATATTCTTATACACATCATTAGATCTGAATTTATTATTTTCAGTAATACCAAATTTGCCTCCATCTAATTTAACCGTGTTTGGGATACTATTATTTATCTTCTACGTCGCATGGTGGAGGTCGGTTTAAAAGAGACAAAACTCATTCATTACTTTCGGTTAGTATAAATTACTGCAACATGCATGTGTGTATTCAACCGACCATAACTAACTAAGTACGTTACTAATTACACTAAGTTTGTTGTATTTTTATATCAATAAGTTAACATTTCTTGTACCAAAAAAAAAAAAAAAAGTTAACATTTGGAGCAAGTCAAGCCGGCCATCACATGAGATACAGTTATTGATTCATAAATCATAAGTTCATAACCATTCTTCATGTTGCAATAAATATTCATGGTCCAATTGTCAAACCTTATATCATATAATAATGTGTCATATAAGGTTTTTAATAAAAAAAATTTATGTATGACCCATAAAGATACATCTCATGTGAACTTGATTTCCGTTACTATGGGCCAAATCTATTGTCAACCACGTGGGGTTGCTACATACTTTCTCATACATAAATTCAAAAGAATGGTCAATAATTACTTGTGGATAACATTGTTTTGTATCCTTTTTAAATAACTCTCAAATTTTTGTGTATGTAACTTTTAATTTAAATATCATGAGTGGAAAAACGCAATGGGTCGAAAGTATCATTGTTTTTTTATTTATAAAATTTAAAAGTTAAATGCTAGAATATAAATTTTTGCAACTTCTTTTTGAAAATTTTAAAATTGTTGTAGATTAAGTCGCCTTGATCCGTGTATTACAAATACAAATTAAACTATCTATTTAAAAAAATGGTGAGATCTATTTGTTGCACTTGGTAGTTGGTACAAGCATCATTATTTAAAGAGTATATTGCAAACTGTAATCAATAATGGTTTGTAATTGTAAATTTGTAACGCTTTAAGTAGAAATTAGTTATTGCCACAATTGTATTTTTGGGCCAAATTTGACTTTCTTGGGTTTTACATTCCTCATTTCATGGGCCTTTGTAACATTTCATCTCTTGTTGGCTTAAGGCCCATATATATTTATCTGGCCTGATGTAGTACAATAATGTTAGTCACATGACAGCCAAAATTGGTAGCTGTGGTGAGTGGTAAACTGTGCATCTTCAGTTCCCGTTGTCCCGCAGTGACAAAGCACCAGTCCGCACATGACTGGCACTCTCTCTTTAACCATTTCCCCATAAGAAATTTACTTTATGAGAATGATTCGGATCTAGATTATGGCCTATTACTTTAGTAACTTTAAAAACAAAAATTAATAGTTGCTTTAGCTTATGTTATTAACTTATTATTGGCCGACCATTCTCACTCGTTAATCTTATTATTCGACTGCACTTTTTTGTTTTTTGTATTCATCGTTTATCCACACATCCTTGACCATAGCATCTAAGTAAGTATCTAACTAATAAATATGTTTATCCACACATCCTTGACCATAACTACACTACGTGGCAAAAAAGAAAAGAAACCCTAACCAAACTACATTTGAAACTCTATATATATGGAGTCTTGGAGATGTAGCTCTTGCTCAATTCATCACTTACGTTTTTAAAATTTCATATATACAACAAGGGAAAAAGGTTTCTCGATATATAGGATTATAAATGGAGAACAAGTTTTTCACTGCCTTCTTCTTGCTTCTCGTCCTCATCTCATGTCGTAAGTTTTTTTCTTCTACATATAAGCATTATTGGTCCATGACCATTTGATTGACAATGCATATATATATATATATATATATATATATATATATATACTTATATGTTGCATTGTATTTTGTGTAATTAAACAGAGGGGATCATTGGGAGTGATGGAAGGACATGTCAGTCAAAGAGCCACCACTTCAAATACATGTGTACCTCCAGCCACAACTGTGCCATAGTCTGCCGTAACGAGGGCTTTTCCGGTGGTCGGTGCCATGGCTTCCATCGCCGTTGCTACTGCACCCGCCTTTGCTAACTAGTTCATTTTTTTATCAATCCATTTTAAATGTACTTTTTCTTTCATTTTTCCCATTTCGAATACTAATAAAGTTCATCGTTTGTTTTTTTTTTTTTGACGTCTATCGTCTGGTTAATCTAGAGGAACAAATGAGATATATAGTGAGAAAATCTTACGCTGAATCTGAAACAAGCAATTTATTAGACAGTTGATCTATGTTTTGAGTTAGCACTCCAAATAAAGGTCATCATTATCATAACTGAGTTTCTCTTAATTACGACTTACGAGTATATTTTATAAGAATATACATTTTTAGTTAAATGACCAAAGTCAATACAGATTTTATCGGAAGGTCGTCAAATTTTGAAAATGACCCTAGAGAGAAAAATAATACTGATGAGAAAAATGAAAGGTGAAGCAACAACATAAGAGCAAATGTCTCAAATGCATTATTCTATTTTCCCTTTTTCTATCTATTGGTATTCAGCCTCTATTCCATTACGGTCAAAAGAAGTAAAAACATCGTCACGAGAATGAAGAATGCAACAACCCACACTAAAAGCTATATATCATATGTACACGATGAATGTCAATTGAAACTAATCTGCAGTCCAAGTCATCATCATCTGTTACCATTGAATCACTTCAACTTTGTGTCAAGTCCCCAAATCCGAATGGTTCCATCGTCACTTGCTGAAGCCAACATATGCAGGTTAATCGGGTTCCAGCTCACGCAGTTCACAGCTCCTGAGTGTCCTCGCAATACAATACAAGGTTCCTTCTGTAATCTTCGTATGATCCATATGTACACCTGCCACAACAGAGAAAGATCACTCATTTGCACAAGAAAATGTTTCTGTGACAGGAAGACTCTAAGAGAGATAGATAAGTACTGTTCTTCACAATCTCTCTCTCTCTCTCAAGGTCCTTTTTATGTGTGTTCTGTAATGAAAAAGAGAATGAGAGATTTCTACCTGAGAATCTTCACTCCCACTGGCGATGAAGCTGTCTTCATAGCCACCAAAGCATGACCTGATGATAAACCGACTACGCTTGTGGCCATTATATTCAAAACATTTATATGGTTGGCCTTCAATGTTCCAGACATGGATCTTCTGGGTAATGAGATTGATCAGAAGATGCTTGTTGTTTTTCGACAGCGAGAACGAGGTAATCATGTCTTCCTCTGTAATCAGTCTCACAGCTCTGGTTTCTCTATTAAACAATGAGATCACATGCACACTGTCCACACTTACAAGCCACTTCCCATCATTTGTCATGGCTACATCAGAAAGCTTCTGTTCCCGTGGACCTTGCTCATGCACTAGCTCAGTCCCATCTAAATTCCACAAGCAGATGCTTCTGTCTGTCATCCCAGCAATTATACCTGATCCATCATGAAACCATCCACAAGAAACAGAACCAACACCATTTCTTTCGTACGATTGAATAAATTCTCCTGACTCAACATCCCAGCTCCTGATAACCTCATTTTCTCCACATGTAGCGACTTGTTTATCATCAGGACTCCACAAAACCATTACCACGGGCTTCTCATGTCCCACAAGTTTATGCTTCTCCGAAAACTTCCCCTGTGCATCGATCTGGAAAAAGCACATCTAAGTGAATCAGCAAATATTGCTAAACAGTTTGCTTCACTCTGAGCAATCCACAGTTGGTTTACATAACATACCTCCCATATAATTGCTGATTTATCCTTGGAAGATGAAGCCAAATACTTGCCATCATGTGAGAATTCCAAGAACCAGACTTCATCCGTATGGTTCTTCAAAGTCTGAACCATTCACATATAGAGAACTTAATGAATGTGTTGTATATCGTTAAAGGCATACATATACAGTCACAGAAAGTCCAACAACAAACGACAAAACTGGCCAAACCAGTAACTTATGAATCATGAACATGAAGCAGGAATTTATCCAAAGACAAGTAATTAAGCAAAAGTTATGTGACTCTCATAATCAGACAACATCATCCATAAATGAAACAACAACATCACGAAGCAATAAAAAGTAACATTTGAGGACTGGTGCATAGTCTTATTACCTGTACAGTCTTAGAAGGAATTTTATGGATCCCACAATGATGATCAGAGCTTAGGGACAAATCACAATTCGGAATATTATGGCACTCACAGAGAAACAGCTCATAATCAAGGGCCTTCTCTATGAGATACTCCAATCTCTTTTCTGGGATAAAAGTTGCAGGAGGAAACAAGTTTTGCAGTGTCTCCACAACCTTAGACCCTGAATTCACACTTTCTTTATCTTCGGCAGAAGCTGATATTAGTATGGATGCGAGCTCATGAACGCGCTTCTTGTTAAAACCAAGAGGCGTCATCTCCTTTCTTAAGGTTGCCAGAGCATCAGTATCCTTTTGCATCTTGAGAACCTCAAAGAATTTGTACTCTAGTAGCAAGAATATCACAGCCTTTTCGTTTTGCAATTCAATTCCCCGCAATGTAGCAATGCTATTGTCCCACTCTCTATTCTTTACTTGTTCCAGAAACTGCTTAGCGACAGTGCTGTGCAGAGGAATGCCAGACTCGTCCTCTAGAAGTTTCCCGATTTGATCAAATCCAAGCGAGTAAAGTGTATCAGTGATGATCCTAATGAATTCAGACTCGTTGATGAAACCTTTGGAGCCCATCATCTTCAAACGTTTCGAAGGTGGTTCAGAATCCATCCTGCAGAAACAAAAGAATCAAACTTTGAGCTTTTCCCGAATCAAACCAAAATCAATAATACGATATTCATAAAGACACATACACATATATAAGATCAATCTTGTAACTGATTCATATAACAATCCAGTAGACGAAGAAGAGAATTAGCGATGAGATGATCAGAGAAACATTAGACAAGTAATGATGAATCAAACCAAAATCAGTAACACTTGCTGCGTTCGATTCAAAATCAAGATATATCAATGGCTGGCTAAAATCGTAGTAAAACCCATAAACAAGAGAACAATCGTAAGTAACAGCAATCGAATAAAAATACATTTCGTGAAATTGGAAGAAGAATGAACCAAAGAAGAAAAAGGAGAGGGCTTGAGGAGGAAAGATTCAATCTTTACCAGAGAAGATGCAAAACCCAGCAAGAAATTGATCGGATTGAGCGATTGCGAACCGGAGAGAGAAATGGATACGCAAAACCCAGAAATATCAGGAGAAACCCAAATGCTGCAAAAGAAGAATCAGAGAATTGAACGTTGTTACGAATTTCACTCAATTTCTTCTTTTATACTAATTTCTTTTGGCGCTGCTGCGGTACCCACCCAATATGACATTTTATAAAGAATAATGGCTATTTTTTTTTTTTTTTTTTTTTGTCGGCAGAATAATGGCTATTTAAGATTTGTGTTTGCGTTTAGACAAAAACAAACAAAAAAAAACATTTTTGTTTGCGAAATAGATACATGTACAAAAAAAAATTAAAATTTTATTTATAAAAAAAAAAGTAAATCTTTAACAACAACTAACAAGCCACTTAGCCACATAAACAATATTTTTAGAATCAATTATTGTCAATTTTTTTAATAGCATTTACAGATTTTGCCACTTTATTTTAAATAGTTTAGATTTATCATTTTTCTATCTGAAACACAATTAACACATTATATTTGGGTTTATTTGGTTCCATTTTTTTAGGTTATAATATTTGTTATTAAGTATGTATTTTATAAAATAAAATTCTCAAAGTCTTACATTTTGTAATTAAAATCACGTATCTTAGCAAGCAAACAGTAGAAAAAATAACAATGAGATCAATCAAAGAGAAAATTTTGTACAAACATATCAAGATGAGTCGGTTTCCAACTCACACATTTCATATCTCATGTATGCTCTTGCAATTTACGAAGAGGTATTGTCGGTTCTACGTTGTGCCATATGTTGGGTTCCAACTCACACACTTCATATCTCATTAAATTATATTCAAAGAAAAAATAATTTTTTTACAATTATTGCAACGGGTTATCGAAAAAAATATTTGAAACTACATTCTGACTTTCTAAAGAGTTTTGAAAAAGTTTTGGAACCGATTAAACTCGAGCTCGGTTCACATATAGAAAGAACTTAATGGATGTGTTCATAAGTATATTAGTAAAGTCACATAAATTCTGACTAAACCACAACATCATCAAGATATGTCTTATTACATGTAAAGTCTTAGAAGACATTTTATTCCCACAATGATGATTAGAGAATATAGACAAATCCCTATTACGAAAATTATGTACATCACAATATGTCCGCTCACGAACAAGGGTCCTCTCCAAAAGAATCTCCAACCTCCTTTCTAGGATTATAACTTGAGGAGGAAACAGTTTTAGCTGTTTCTCCACAGCGTCGGTCCTTGGAATGGCAGTTTCATGGGCTGATAGAACTCTCAATCCGAGATAAGTGGCGAGATCCTTGTCAACACCAAGAGAAAATATATTTTTCTCAAGGAATCTGTGGGCATCATCAACAGGCCCGGCCCAGAGGGCAAGCCACTGAAACCACCGATTTAGGCCTCAAAATTTGAGGACCTTTTTACCTAAAAATTGTTAAGTGTTTTTATATTTAATAATTTTAGTAGGGCCTTTTAAAAATATTGTGGCCTTTTAGAGACAACTACAACATTCTTTTTAATGGTAAAAATCTAATTTAAAAGAAAATATTTTTAATGAGCTTTAAGTTTTGCTTAGGGCACCCAAACTTGCCGGGCCGGCACTGATCATCAACATGTCCCTCCTTGGATTTAGCGATTGCGAAGGGTAGAGAGAGACGGAAACGGGAAAATCAGAAAGCCAAGTGTGAAAAAGAGCGAGAGAAGATAGAGCGAGAGAGAAGTATGCAGGAGAAGAGAAATCTAAGAACAGAAGAAGAAGAAGAATGAGAGAATTGAACTTTTGGCGCTCAAGGCGATAAATAAAGGGCCTGATTGGCAAGTGATTTAGAATCTTTACAAAGCAAAAAAAATTCTAAAGTATTGAAATAGATCCAATCAAGATTTAGAAGTTTTGACTTTTCTTTTTTTTCTCACGGCCAAAATATTTCCATAATTTATTTTTTTTTGCTGTAGAAAACTTTATTTTCTAAAAGACACAATTTTCAACTTTTTAAAATTTTAAATTCTATAACAAAAACACTCTAGCACTAAAATCTATAGTAACTGTTGCCGACTCTGAACAAGAATTCAAGTGTTGTTTGATATGGTTTTAAAGCCCATAAATAAAAGCCCAAATACGGCCCAATTAAGGAAAAGACTCCTCTTGGAAGAAGAACTTAAGAAGAAACTGGGATTTTGGAAGAGATTGAGAGAAAACAAACGATAATGGGAAGCGCACCAGCTCAGATTCCGACTAGTTTCGGCCATGAGCTTAGGGCTTGTCTTCGTTGCCGACTCGTCAAGACCTATGACCAGGTTTTTATTTACTATTCTTTCTCTGTTTCTTTCTTCTTTTAGGGTTTGATTTGCTTTTCTAAGCTGGGTGTTTTTTTGGTTCAAACAGTTCAGGGACGCTGGTTGCGAGAATTGCCCTTTCTTCAAGATGGAAGAGGATCATGAGCGTATCGTGGAGGTCACTACCCCTAATTTCAATGGGTATTTCATCAATTCTAAACCTTTACTTTAGAATTCTTCCCTAGGCAAGTCTTTGCGTTGATGGGTACTGTTTCAATTCACTGCTTCTAGGGTTTCAAAAGATTTTAGCTTTATTGTATAGTTGTGGAAAAGTTCTCAACTTGGAGTGATTCTTCGGCTTAAGGATGAAATTAGACTACTTTCTGAATGTTACATTGTTTGTTTCTGAGCTGAGTTTGAACTCATTCTTTCTGAATTAGTGATTCGATTGTTACATAATTGGTGGAAAATATCCCAAAGCTTGCTGCTTTAATAGTAGTTTTTACAAGTTAAAGTGAGATAGTTTTAGTGGCTTTTGTCTCCTTTTCTAAGTTGATATCTTTATATTCCCAGCTACTGATATTAAGATTGTTTTGCAGTATAATCTCTGTGATGGATCCAAGTAGAAGCTGGGCTGCTAGGTGGTTAAGAATCGGTATGTTAATCGCTCTCTTTAACTATTCCTATTTGAGCTCAGCAAATAAGCGTAAGCTTCTTCTTACCATTAATGTGCTCTTATTCTCCAATTATAATACTAGGATAGATTATAGATGGTTAGATTGCTGTTACATTCATCAGCACATCTCTTTTTTTTTTTTTGTGTTAAAGAGAGAGTGACCATGAGATCTCCAATGAATGATGGATTGTATGATGTTGCTAAATTTTGACAGGGAAGTTTGCTCCTGGTTGCTACACTCTTGCGGTCTCAGAGCCACTCCCTGAGGAAATGCAGGTAAACGATTAGCAGTGGTGATATATTATCTTCATGGTTTGAAATTAGACTTAGCAACACATTGTTTTGCTTTGTGTTTCAAAATTAGTATCACACAGTCACTGTTTTTTTCGCTTATCTGATTTTGTGTTTTCACTCTGTGGTGATTCACTGCAGCACCTATGCCAAGAAGAGCGTGTACAATATGTTCTGCCGAAACGCATGTGAAGAAAATCCATCAAGAAGAATGCTAGAATACAAGACCAAGTAGTGCTCTTTCTCATTCAAGCTTCATGTAAACATTATAAGGTTGCTTTATTTTGTATCTTCTTCAATCTTGTGCTGGGTCCATGATGAAAGTCTCCTACAAGTCAAGACTCCTTAGGTTTCTTCAATGTAAGGTCGTTAGTCCGATATCAAAAAGATCTTTTAAATGAGATTTTAATGAGAATTGAAAGAATAAACATGGGTAGTCAAGATCCAACATTATTTAGTAACAGAAAAATGGTTAGACCTTCTCGAAAGAATAGCACACCTCTTTAGATCCAAAAGCATATTCTTCTTGTTAGAATAATCGCATTCCTATAATCATAGCATGTTAGTTCGACATTTTTTCAACAAGTTCTTTTTATTTTCAACAAAAGTTTTTTTTTATATTATAAAGAAAACAAATACAAGTATAAAATAAACCAACATGTCCGATTTCGAAGAGACATGCATTTATATTTGTTATTAGTATATGGAAAATTCCAATTGGGTATCTGAGAGCATGATTATTAGTAGTATCTTAGAAATAAATCTTAGGAATATTTAAGTAATATATTTGTAAAAGTGATAGGTAAGAGATAGTATTTTTGAGTTAAGATTTTTGTGTGATTAATGGTAGGTTCTTAACATGTGATTCTTAGAAAAACAAATATTAATATAAAAATAAAATTTATAATTATAGAAAATTTAATAATAGTTGTAAATTAAAAAAATTAAAACATACATGAGATACAATTTATCAACATCTTTTTTTTGAACCTGTTACAGAAGAAAAAAATTCTGCTCTAAGGACATACAGAAAAAAAAAAATTTAAAACATACAGAAGAAAAAAATTCTCCTTTTGATTGTTTTTTTAACCTGTTACACAGTGACACGTATCAACATCTTAAGCTAACAAAAACATCCTAACTAAGATACAAATCTTAGATTAATTTTGTTGGTATAATTATTTTTAATCAATTTTAATCCTAAGATATCTCTAAGATATCACCGTTAATGCTGCTCTGAGTTTAATTAATTCCACGTGGCTATTATTGTACGCCGTTATAAACTCTCTTCGTTTTAACATTTTGAGTCTCCGGCGGCTTTCACACTCCAAACTAAAAACCACAGAAGCTGCGTTTTCAGGTAAAATCTAATTCTCTCCGATCATCTCTTCTTCCTTCAGTATCTCTGTTTCCAAATTCGTTAGATCCAACCTTTAAATCGAAAATGATCACTGGTAAACATTCATTTCACTCGTCGAATCTAAAAATCCCGTCTTTTTCGCTACTTTGGTGGACTTAGTTGTGATCGCTTGAATCGATGTAAAGTCTCTGCTTTTTTTTTGTGGGTTTTGTCTCTTCTCTGTTAGGATGGATCATGATCTTAGCTTTTTCGATTCTTGTATCGGAGATTTTGATTGATGGGTATGATGTTTCAATTTGTTCATAGCAGGAGTCTGACTGATTCGGCTATTTTTGGAGATTTACGAAAATGTCAAACATAGACATAGAAGGGATATTGAAGGAGCTACCTAATGATGGGAGGACTCCTAAGACTAAGATCGTTTGTACTTTAGGTCCTGCGTCTCGGTCTGTGACCATGATTGAGAAGCTTCTCAAAGCCGGCATGAATGTTGCTCGATTCAATTTCTCTCATGGAAGCCATGAGTACCATCAGGAGACTCTTGAAAATCTCCGCACGGCTATGCAGAATACTGGCATTCTCGCTGCTGTTATGCTTGATACAAAGGTTTATCATTCTCTTCTTTTCTTATGGATTTTGTTCTTGACTTGTTTTTCTAGAAGTGTTTAAACGTGAATTGTGTTAATCTTTCTTATGGACTAGGATCTAGATTGTGTTTCTCCCTTGTGATTTTGCTGAAGAGTGTTTACACTTTGTAGTTGAATTTTGAAATCTTCAAGTTTGATTTTTTAACTCCATAAAAGCTTCAGCCTTTCAATTGTGAAATTTCAGTAGAGAGCAAGAAAGTTATTTTATGAGAAGGGAAAGAAATTCCAATAGAGTGTCTTTGTTTGCTACATTAGGCATTTAGTGTTTTCATTTTGCTTATTATTGTTGATGGTCTCAGAAGCAGATGTTTATTGATGACGTTGGCTCAAACTAGCAACTGATAGATCTTATGTGTTACTTAGCGAAACATTATAATTGGAGTCTATGTCTGTGTTAGAACCATTTCAGTAAATAATATGAGTGTTACATCACAGGGGCCTGAGATTCGTACCGGTTTCTTGAAAGATGGGAACCCTATACAACTAAAAGAAGGTCAGGAGATCACAATTACCACTGATTATGACATCAAGGGTGATGAGAAAACGATTTCCATGAGCTACAAAAAGCTCCCAGTGGATGTGAAGCCCGGAAATACCATTCTATGTGCAGATGGAAGCATAAGTCTTGCTGTCGTGTCATGTGATCCAAAGTCTGGGACTGTTATATGTCGATGTGAAAATACAGCGATGCTAGGTGAAAGAAAGAATGTGAATCTTCCCGGTGTTGTTGTTGATCTCCCCACATTGACTGAAAAGGATGTAGAAGATATTCTTAAATGGGGTGTTCCAAACAACATCGATATGATTGCTCTTTCGTTTGTTCGCAAAGGTTCAGATCTTGTTAATGTCCGGAAAGTACTTGGATCACATTCTAAGAGTATAATGTTGATGTCGAAGGTAAACCGACGCATATTTTTCATTTTTGGCTAAAGTTGTTTGAAGGTGTGATTCTGATTTGAATTTCTTTTTCTTAAGGTTGAGAACCAAGAAGGAGTGCTGAATTTCGATGAGATCTTGCGTGAAACCGATGCATTCATGGTTGCCCGTGGTGATCTCGGGATGGAGATTCCGATAGAGAAGATTTTCTTGGCTCAAAAGATGATGATCTACAAGTGTAACCTTGCGGGTAAACCAGTGGTCACAGCCACTCAAATGCTCGAGTCTATGATCAAATCACCACGGCCAACACGAGCTGAAGCCACAGATGTAGCAAACGCAGTTCTCGATGGCACTGACTGTGTGATGCTCAGCGGAGAAAGTGCTGCAGGAGCTTACCCGGAAATAGCAGTGAAAACAATGGCTAAAATCTGCATCGAGGCGGAATCATCGCTTGACTACAACACAATCTTCAAGGAAATGATTAGAGCAACTCCGCTTCCAATGAGCACACTTGAGAGTCTTGCATCATCAGCTGTACGAACTGCAAACAAAGCCAAAGCCAAACTCATCATCGTGTTGACCCGAGGAGGTACAACAGCTAAACTGGTGGCTAAGTATAGACCAGCTGTTCCAATTCTATCAGTGGTTGTTCCAGTTTTCACCAGCGATACCTTTAACTGGAGTTGCAGCGATGAGTCACCGGCGAGGCATAGTTTGATATATAGAGGTCTGATTCCGGTTTTGGGTGAAGGATCTGCAAAAGCAACTGATAGTGAATCTACAGAGGAGATTATTGAGTCTGCTTTGAAGTCAGCGACAGAGAAAGGACTGTGTAACCATGGTGATGCTGTGGTGGCTCTGCACCGTATTGGAGCTGCTTCGGTTATCAAGATCTGTGTGGTGAAGTGATTATGCTACTAAATCATGATCTTGATTTCTTTTTTTGGTTAATGTTTCTTGATGAAATAAATAACAGGGGAATAGGTACCTGAAAGTGTGTGTTTTTTTTTAATGATTATTTCTTCTCTTTCTTTGCTGCTCTTATCATAGTAGTTTAATTAGCCAATAACAACAGGTCGGCTAATTTTTAAGGCTCGTTTTCTCATCATTTTTGATTAGCAACTTGAACATTTAGTTAAATATGTAATTCCTCGATAAAATCATCTAAATCAAATGCAACAAAAACTTTAGTAGATCAAATCCAAAATTCCCATCCCCAGTCCCAGTGTTGATTGAATACGAGGTTGCATGTGGGTGAACTAGGGGAAGAAAGTCTTATCTCCGTCTCCAACTCCAAGTCAAGATGCTTTTGTGGATCCAACCCTGGTCCGAGCGTGATTGTTGCAGTCTTCAAGAAGCAAGAATTTCTCAAGATATATTTCGCAACATCTTTCCCTTGTACGGATAAAAAGAAATCACCTGACCACTCGAAAGTTTGTAGACTCGACAACAAACATTGAGGAACACTACTCAGTTGGTTCCACCAAACCAGTGTATCCATAGTTACCCTTGAATATTGATCCTTGGATTTAAAAAAAAAAAATGAGAGTTAGATCAAACAATACTGTGAATTAGACCAAAATTAATATTGTTTACTGAAGGAGAAACTTACACTGAACTTGAAGTCTCTTAGTTTGGGAGAAGCATTGAGCAACCAGAATAGTAACTTGGACCAAAATGTGTTTCGTATACCAAAATTCAGATGCTCAAGCTTATTAAAGACAACATCATCACCATATACAGTCTCTGCAGTGTTGTCTTCTGCTACCAACAATGAAAGAAGCTTGACAGATGTGAGAGATTGGAGAAGCTTCTTGATATTGTGACCAGCAGTGAAGATTTGTGCCTCCTCCAGCTTAGGCATATTCTTCACTATCAAACATGTACTCTTACTTAAATGTTTATATTTGAAATACTTCAAAGAAGGAGTATCTATCATATACCCATCAGAAGAACATCCAGACCAAACCGTAAAGGATAAACTAAGCAATGTCGGGATGATAACGGAAAACTTTCTCACATTGTCACCTTGGTGTCGTTCCACAACCAGATCTTCCAAAACAGAGCAATTGGTTAAAAGCCGTTGAAGAGATTCTTCATCTGCGTATGTCACACGTTCAAGGTGCAAAGTTTTCAAGGAAGGGAGGCAAAAAACATGAGGAACATCCACGAGAATGTTCTTTTTTAGTTTCAATGTCACAAGTGATTTGCAAGTATACAAGCTACTCGGCAGTAATGCATTAGGTTTTCCCTTGAAACGAGTAAAAGTAACGCTTAGCTCCTCAACACATCGAGAAATTGCAATTTCAACCCACAGTTTGATATCTTGAGGTTGAAATACCTCAGTGAAAAGCACGAGACGAAAGCTCTCTACGAGCGGAGAGATATGTAATGGCAGATTCCTGTCAATAAAACGCCGCATCCTCTGGCTTTTTCCCGACGCTATAATTCTTTTTCTTCTGTCAACCCCCTCTATGAACATATATTGACAGTAAAATTCTTTAGGATAAATGCTCTTTTCATCGTACTCAAGTTTTGGCACCCGCATCCAAAGAAACTTCCATCGCTTCGACAAAGTACTCGTGCTTACCGCATCTTTTGTTGGAAGAAACGATAAGATCTTCACGAGCAATTCATCATCAGAAAACCCACTTATCTTGTCCATATCTTCTTACTCAAACCCCCTAGCTCACAGAAGAATTGTAACAATTAAATGTAGAGGCAGAGACTAATAAATTAAATAGAGAAATAGAACAAACCCTAGAAAATCTTATTGAATTAGGCAATTAGCCTTAATGAATACTATAATATAATACCTAACTAAATAAAGTTATCGTTTAAAAAATATATTTTTTTAACAAATAAAAATACAACAAATGAGCTTTATACTTGTGATCTATATAATATCTCGTATCTTAAAAAGAATGATAAATTCTAGATTTTAAAAGAGTTTTTGGTTTTTGTTTTTCAAAAGCTCATTGAATCACCAATCAAGTTTTTAGAAAAGTGGGTTTTCTAAATATAGGAAAATTTCTTGTTTATCCATTCAAAGTTTTAAGATCTTTAGTTGTCCTACAAATAGGGAATCTAGAAAACTAAGAAAAAGATAATCTAAAAACTGAATAAAAAATCTGCATCCATTCATGACCATGACTTAGAATGTGTATACAAATCTTAATCAAGGCAAAGGAGGGAAGATACGGGAATAAGCAGAAACGACGCCGCTCTGTATATAGCGTTTGGGATTCTCAGGATCAGGATTCCATTGTATCTCACTAATGTTTGGCGTTTCGACAAACGCAACCGTGAACTCTCCCATCTTCTCCATCTTCCCACGTTTTCCAGCTCTGAGAATAAGTCCACTGTTCCGCACGTATGAGAATATCCCATTGGTGAGCTTCACGATGTCTCCCGCCTCGAAAGCATCACACTCATCTCCCCACAGCTGTATGTGAACCGCAGCCGTTTCATCCGCCGCCAAGGCGATACAATTCTTCCCGTTTGCCGCCGGCGATTTGGCTTTGTCTAGTATGATGAAACGTGTGTTTATGTTGTTCTGCGCCGCGGGAACTATGTCCTTGAGAAACAACTGCATCTTTTTGGCAAATCGCTAAAATCCTCCTAAAATTGAAATTGTGAGAGATTCAAAAACAGTGATTGAAATCAAAGGAACTGAGCTCTGGGATAATCAGACGAAACATGAGCTTTTAGAGGAATATCATAGCATCAACCCACTTGAAACTTGTAGCACAAGCAAAAAAAAAATAACAAAAAGTTTTGTATGAAAACCTAAAACCATATTTCAAAAATTCACTTAGACATTTTATCGAACACTTGATCTGCACTATTTTTTTGTTTTATCTATTTGTATCAAAAGCTAATGAATTCTTCTAGTGCATGTTTATGATTTATGAAAAAGCAGTTTACGAGTTCAAATCACCTTAATTTTATTAATAATCTCAACCACAATCCATTCCATTGTTTGCAAACTATAACCACAGAAACTTACCGACTAGAGAAAAACGCCGATGCTTGAAAAGGATATGACGGTGACGGAGAAAACGCCGGTGATGAAGATGACAAAGGTCCGAGTGAAGAAGACGTGAGAAGAAAATCACGTCGGGAACTTGGATACCAAGTCAATGTGATTTTATAAGAAAATAAATTAAGGAAAAAGAGGGTTTTCAAAGTTTGGCATTAGGCATATACATACATGAACATGAAACATACCATGTCACTTTGATGCTACATATATGGCATGACCATCATACAAAACAAGTTAGCTTCCAGTTTCTGCAAAAGCTTAGTAAGTTCCAAAAGAAATATTTAGCCGAGTTTCTTAAGTTCTAATATTCCAGGCCCAAAAATCGTTAAGTAAGATGTACAACAACATCAACCTTCTTCCTTGTGAAGATGCTCTTTGGTTAATCGATCTCTATCACCGCCTCATGAGACAAACCGCTGACAGATGGTTCTTGTTTTATCTCGATCGAGTCTTCGATGATTCTTGGAGTTTCTTTTAGTAACCTCTCCTGCTCTGAAGTTTTTTCCAGAAGTTCTCTCTGCTCTAGATACTCCTCTAATGTAATCGGAAAGAGTTAAGGTGTTTCAAATGTAATCATGTCAAATCATATGAAAATGTGTGCGCTTTTTATTGAAACTTAAAAAGGATATTCTCTTCTCCATCCTTTCTCATTAGCACGGTTGATGCGTTTCTGCAGAATGATAAGCTGCCTTGCAATCCACTGGTTTTTTCAAGATATTTACACAAGAAACAAAGTGTGAGATTCAAGAAAAAAAAAGTGTTTCTATCTTTTTTACCAAAACACAGAGTGTGTAACCTTATCTTATTTAGCTTATGTGTTTTCAGAGATACTCACATGTTTTGTTATATCAACATGGAGAGCCTTAGCCTTCTGCTCCATCTCCACCTGTCAGATTAAAAAAACCATTGGTGAGTTTTAGCTCCTGAAAGACAGGATCATGATTTGGGTTTAAGAATGCAAATGCCAAATGATTTGACTACCTCTCTGTCTTACCAGAGGATTGTCATGTTAATGAAGGTAATATTTTCTAAACAGAGAACCAAATCTTGTGAGATACAGTTTGCTTTAAGAACTTACAACAGTTGGCTGTCTCAGAAGGCCATTCATCACTTTTTGCTTCAAATCTTTAATCTCTTCCTGAAAAGGAATGTGTAAAAGTGGAGATTTTAGCTTTTAGAAAGTTTTTGAACAGCCAAACACATATAAGAACCATATAGAAACAAACAATAGTAATTAGTCACCTAGGAGGAATATTACAAAGATACTTTCTCAGTACTTGCAGCAGATTTGTCAAAAAAAAATTCCCAAAATGCAGACGAGAGCAAAACTAATTGACGGAAATAAAATGGTAAAAGATAAATTAAGACATGATTCACCTCGCTTATGTCAGAATCATCCAACTTGGAAATGCTAATACCACTTGCCATACCAGCAACATGAAGAAGCACTCCCTCACTCTGGTCATCAGCAGTTTTAATGCCTACAAGAAAGGAAAAAATATCAGGTGTGACAGTGATTCTGATGCAGTGATCATGACATGGATCAGAGAAATTCAGAGATAAGATATGGCAATTTGACACTATCACAATGTCTAATAAACTGTCCAAATTATCTAAAAATCTAGAAGATAGAAAGAAACACTAATAACCGGAAGTCTTGGTTACCTGTAACCTGCAAGATCTGGTACGCCATAAGGTCCCTAGGGTTATTCTTCACTTTCACAAAGCTTCCCACCACTTTGTCCACAAATCTTTCATTCTGCTTCAACAACTCTACGACTAAGCTCTTACGTAGATAAACAAGCTTTATATTATCTGCATTGATCGTGGCGAAACCAGTTGCTTGCATTTCAGGTTGCACTTCCTTCTCACAAATTTCCTCATCTGAACTTTCTGTTTTTTGCTTCTTGCACGGCATCAAAACCTCATCATTCTTTTCACTGAATCGCTTTTCTTTCTTTTGACTGAAGCCAGGTTCCAAAGGTGTGAAATACTCCACCTGATCAAGGTTTTCTTTCAGGTGAGTATTTAAAAGTGTATAAATCCTTTTCTGATTTACAGACTTTTTCCTGAAGATAGAGTACAGCTTCTCATCACAATGAACTTTCTTCTTCTTTTCACGGTCAAGCAGGTTTTTCTCACGAATGTACCTGCGGATAACTGACTCCACACTATGTTGTGACATTGCGTCTCTGGTGTCTTCCCCTATGGACGTTAGGAAATCAATGAGGGGCTTTGAACCCCATCTGATAAACTCCATTCTCTTTTTCTTGCCCACCGTTTTATAATCAACTGCATCCTCTACCCCATGGTCCGATAGGGAAAATTTGGGATCATCTTTGATCTTCAGCTTGACGCCTTTCTTTCCTGACTTTGAAGTGTGGACATCACCAAGCGGAAATTTGGGATCATCTTTGTACTTCAGCTTGTCGCCTTTCTTTCGTGACTTTGAAGTGTGGACATCACCAAGCGAAAATTTGGGATCATCTTTGTACTTTGACTTGACACCTTTCTTTCGTGGCTTTGAAGCGCAGACATTGCGGACCTCGCCAAAAGTTAGATCTTCTTGTTTTTTAACAATTTCCCAATACTCAAGAAACAGACACTCAAATGTATTCCTATCTGTCAAGTCAAGCTTATCCTGCCAACCAATAGAGGAATGTTAAGGAGAGAAAATAACATTTTAAGTGTCAACTCAACTCCCTTAACTAGGAAAGTCCTGGTGCATTAAAATAAAAAGAAAGCATGCAATAGTTTTACAATTTGTAAAGCAAAGCACGTCGACAATTATGCATATATTTCATTCAATTCGCTAAAGACATACCAAATGTGTGGTAGATTCATCTATCTTTTCCTAGGGGGAGCCTACACAGAGCCTTCTAATTGAAATTTCTTGAGTTGTTACACTCAGATTCTTTCAAATTCGTGCTCATTTTTGTTTCGTATGGCAATAAATCCCTTTTAACACATATTTTACAGATCCTAAATAGTAAACACCTTAGTTATTTGCAACAGATGACAACCAAAATTGGGCAAAAAGGAAATAATAGGACATTATATTGATATGGTTATGGCAGTTTGAAACATACCCCAGCAGCATCATATTCTTGAATTTCTTCTAAAGCAAAGACATACTCCTGGCATTGATTGCATAACCCTTTATTCTCTTTAAGTTGAGTAAACTCAGCATGAGTAACACAGCCTTCACATACAGCATGTGAGCAACAAAGGCAGCATAGCTTTGGTGTCTTCTTACACAAGTAGCAACTGTGCCACACTGAAATTTGAAAATTTTACAATTTAACATTAGCCCTTATGACTGCAAATATAAACCTTTATATACAGAGACATGGGATATCTTACATAGCGGTTAAAGGCTTTAAAAGAACCAGAAAAATCATCAAGTAATCCATAAACTATATCGTCCTCCAATTTCTCACTTTCAGATATAAAACCCATTCAAACTAATTAAGAGGAGACCGCTGAGAAGCTAAGTCACAATTCAAAGGAAGCAAGCTACTTCAAAATGATAATAATATTGCAATGAACATATAAAATATATATATATAGAGAAACTTTTAGCACTTACTACAGATATACGAGTCTCCATTCTTGCTTGCTGTGCTACCCTTTTCAACGCAACTTTCATGATAAACTTTTGGACAGTCCCTGAAATAAGCAAGCACAATGAGTAGATGCATATATTTAAAGTAGACTAGATATCACAAGTGACAATACTTTTAATATTCATCTTGACAATCTTTCATAATTGTAAGTGTGAAATTTCATGCAAATCATACATTAACAATCTACTGAAATTTAGTAGATGGAAAAAAGTCAATTTGCTACCTTACCTAAGCTCCTAATCAATGGCCTAAAGAAAAAGGAAACACCTTTATACATTTAACTACACAATAATACACAATTTCTCTGTTAAAAGGAAATGAATACTTTTGGCATAAATTACTACCTCCAAACAAAATCCCCTAATCATCAATTTGAGTAAACAAAAGTAACTTGATTGAAAAAGAAGAACTTTCGTAGTGAAGAACACAAAGTTTAATTTCTGTTTCCACTTAGACAAACAAATCTATATAAAAAGAACCAATGAGACAATACACATGTTTTCCCACTCATTATATAATATACAAACCTACATTGAAATTGACAAATCCTCGTTATAATATAAGCAAAACCCAACAAAGACTAAAACACCCTTCATCATCAGAAATCAAGAACATGCAAAGAACAAACATTAATCACTAATCCTCTACCGAAGCAGGAGCATTATGTTTTCTTTCATCAGAGTTTAACTAAGTGAGAAAGAGAGGGAGAGACTCACTTGAAATCACAGAGTATTAGGTTTCCACCATCTTTGCAGATGAAGCACCAATCCTCACACTCCTTCTCATCCTCCTCCTCCTCCTCCACAATCTCCACTACATTATTCATATCTCTCGCCGTCGCTCTCTCTCTCTCTCTCGCTCTATTTGCTGCTACTTGGCGGTGACCTAGTTAGTGACGACAGAGCAAGAAGAAGAAACACTTATCTCTAATTCTGATATTTAGCAGAAAATTAGCAAATAAATAGCTGTCTGAGTGACCTCTGTCAGTATTACTAGATTCTTAAGGATTCGCTTTCACCAATCACCAATCGCCAATCGCCAAACGCTACTTTTTGTATTTCTCTATTATACCCCTATCATATCCGGGACACGTGTCTCTTAAACACAGTTTCATAGGGTTCTTTCGTAAATGTAACACGTTTTGCATTTTATATGGACCTTTTTTATTTTAGCGATCGCGTTTTGCGGTCAAACAATCGCAAGTACAATGCTCGCAAGTACAAAGATATCGAACCATGTTTTGTTTTTACTTAATTTTGGATTATAAGTGATATTTGTTGTTTCGATACCCCCCCCCCCCATTTGGATTATGTAAAATTAGTTCGTGTTACACGATCATTAAAATCAATTTACTAACTATATAAGATTTTTATGAGCAAATCATTACAAGTTATAAGATTTCAATAAGTAAGATAAAGTGTATTGGGTTTTTTTCACTTACCTTAATTCATTTTTTCCTGATAAAAATAGAAAATATATTTGAATTCGTTTTATTTGTGAATGTTGATAAAATTTAACTTTTGAAATATACGTTCTAGATTGCGATATGATCATCAGATCTTTTTAGCAGATCGAACAAAAGTCTCAGTAAGGTGAAGCATCGTATGACAACATATAAAGGGATGAAGCATAAGAACATGTCCAACAATTCAAGCATATTAGTATCTATATCATTATTCCGTATATATTCTTAGTCTCTTCTTCATCACATTATGTTTTACTTTTTTTATAACTTCACCTAATTTTCCTATAAAAATATCTATCAGTTTTCTTGATATATATACTTTTTTCCTATGCCCTGCATTTCTTGTCGTAAGACATGATGTTTTCAACATAGCTCTTAAGGGAAAATAACCTAAAAAGTTTTCTAAACATTGATGTTTTCCTAACGTTTTCATGTTATTATTGTGAGAAGAAAAAAAGGCGGTAACTAAATTTATATATTTTTTGAAAAGGATTTCCATTAAAGATCAACCACTTTCCTTCTAAATGTCAGAATGTAAACCTCTCAATGTTTGAAATTATTATTCACTCAAAAAACAGGTAGTTAAAATATATTTTAGTTTGTATCATATACTTTAATTTGATTTGAAGGTCAGAGATGAAGGAATATATACAAAAACGCCCTTTTGCATTGCCAATTTGCCATCATCCAGAATAGTGGAATATAACATGAACAAGTGGAACCTTCTTACACATGCTTCTGTCTCCTCCTAAAGCGTAAGCCATTTTCCCAAACATAGCTTAGTTCTTAATTAAGTTATTGGTTTGTTTTTAATTACGGGATTCATTCAAATCATTCTTTATTATTTTATATTTATTTTGGGTCATCTATATCCTTTTTTGTTAAAATTGATATCCTTTTTAGCCCCAATCACATCCAAGTCACACACTTGCAAAAGAGATCTCACCCAAAATAAAGAAGCAAAAGAAGATGGAAAAAAACACCTCCATTAAGAAATCAAAGATGTTTCAACTTAGTGGGATTCTCTTTCCCTCAAAGCAGCATTTCTTCTTCTTCTTTTTACATCATAGAGATATAAATATGAAAAATACCTTTTGTGGGTCCTTTAAAGGCACTAACTTCTAAAAGAGTCATCTTTCTTTAGATGATTTTACATTATTGTTGCTTTTATTTGCTTCATTATTATACAAATCCTCCATTTCTCTCTTCAACCCATGTTTTTGTTCTCTTGTGTTTAGAGTGTTTCAGCTTCTCTATGGCTCACTCAGGTACTTACAACTAAAAGCTTTGTTTTACTTATACTTTAATGCCTATTTTTTCCCATTGTATATTATTTAGGTTTCTTGGTTTTTGTTTATTTTACTAAACTTTATTGTTTCTTTTAGTTTCAAGTTACAAAATATTTGATACATATCTAGGTGAAACAAGAGAGGTTTTGATCATCAAAGCAAAGAGTCAAAGACAGAGTTATAAATTTTCTTGTTCTTGATGCTTACAAGCTTTCATTTTCTTAATGTTTTGGGTTCAAATGAGCTCTGATGGAGAAGTTATGGATTGATCTGACAATGTTTCACATCAAAAACAATCAAAGCTGTTCGTTTTTAAGACATAATTAGACACACAAATCGGTCTTTTCTTTTATTTGCTTTCTTATATTTAGTTAACATAGTTTGATCACACCAGTTATGTGTTTCTTGTATAATAAGTTAACTTTTTATTATGTTTGATACAATTTAGACTATAGATTCTACAGCAGAAAAGAAGCGAGTTTGATTGATTTAGAATATATGACAGTTCTTAAAATATCTTAAAAGCTGCAGGGAATGGTGGAAGTTTTCGTGATCCTCTAGGAACTCGAAGAGGATTCATTCACAGAAATTGCTTTAGATGGAACAATCAGAAATTGATCTTACAATGCTTCATGGCCTTAGCTTTTGTGGGAGTCACTTCTTCAACAACTCAACCAGATATCGAAGGTCTATATATAAATAGCCTTTGTAAATGAATCAATGATCTCATGGTATTAACTGGTTTAATTCTTGTTTAATTGCTAGGGGGAGCTTTGTTGCAGCTCAGAGATTCTCTTAATGATTCGAGCAATCGTCTGAAATGGACACGCGATTTCGTGAGCCCTTGCTATAGTTGGTCTTATGTTACCTGCAGAGGCCAGAGTGTTGTGGCTCTGTAAGTACTCTTAAGATCATCAGGGACGGCCCTGCATCTCAAGTTCTAGTTACCGAGATTTCGCATTATGTTGAAAACTTGTTTTGTATCAACCTGTAGAAATCTTGCCTCAAATGGATTCACAGGAACACTATCTCCAGCTATTACAAAACTGAAGTTCTTGGTTACCTTGTAAGATTTCTCATAAACCATTTCCAATACAAGTTTCTTTATCGGTTCGATTATTCATAATATTGTTCTTGATGCAGAGAGTTACAGAACAATAGTTTATCTGGTGCCTTACCAGAGTCTCTTGGGAACATGGTTAATCTACAGACTTTAAACCTATCAATGAACAGTTTCAGCGGCTCAATACCCGCAAGCTGGAGTCAGCTCTCGAATCTAAAGCACTTGTAAGTCCACTCGAAAACTCTCTTATTAAGCATCTTTGAAATGTGACTCTGAGATCTTTTGGCTAAGATCAAACAATAAAATTTGATTCACAGGGATCTCTCATCCAATAATTTAACAGGAAGCATCCCAACACAATTCTTCTCAATACCAACATTCGAGTAAAAAATCTCATTTTCTCATTTAAATCTACCAAACTAGTCACAGTGACTTGTCAGTACTGTAATCACATTTTGTGATTTTTCTTCAGTTTTTCAGGCACTCAGCTCATATGTGGTAAAAGTTTGAATCAGCCTTGCTCTTCAAGTTCTCGTCTACCAGGTTCTTAGTTCTGTCTTCTTCATCCAATACACATACAAATAGAGCAGATTTAACTTAGTAACTTTATGTTCAGTCACATCCTCCAAGAAGAAGCTGAGAGACATTACTTTGACTGCAAGTTGTGTTGCTTCTATAATCTTATTCCTTGGAGCAATGGTTATGTATCATCACCATCGCGTCCGCCAAACCAAATACGACATCTTTTTCGATGTAGCTGGTAAAAACTTACATATATTTATAATCAAACATCTCATTAGATCATTATGAACTCTTGATCCAAAATCCTTTTTCCTTGAAAATGCAGGTGAAGATGACAGGAAGATTTCCTTTGGACAGCTAAGAAGATTCTCATTGCGCGAAATCCAGCTCGCAACAGATAGTTTCAACGAGAGCAATTTGATCGGACAAGGAGGATTTGGTAAAGTGTACAGAGGTTTGCTTCCAGACAAAACAAAAGTTGCAGTGAAACGCCTTGCGGATTACTTCAGTCCTGGAGGAGAAGCTGCTTTCCAAAGAGAGATTCAGCTCATAAGCGTTGCGGTTCATAAGAATCTCTTACGCCTTATTGGCTTCTGCACAACTTCCTCCGAGAGAATCCTTGTTTATCCATACATGGAAAATCTTAGTGTCGCATATCGACTAAGAGGTATTTATACCTTATTTTCTCTATAACTCTTTCAACCAAATATCACAGATTGTGTAATGTCTTTGTGCATGTGACATTGTAGATTTGAAAGCGGGAGAGGAAGGATTAGATTGGCCAACAAGGAAGCGTGTAGCTTTCGGTTCAGCTCATGGTTTAGAGTATCTACACGAACATTGTAATCCGAAGATCATACACCGCGATCTCAAGGCTGCAAACATACTTTTAGACAACAATTTTGAGCCTGTTCTTGGAGATTTCGGTTTAGCTAAGCTTGTGGACACATCACTGACTCATGTCACAACTCAAGTCCGAGGAACAATGGGTCACATTGCGCCAGAGTATCTCTGCACGGGAAAATCATCGGAAAAGACTGATGTTTTTGGTTACGGTATAACGCTTCTTGAGCTCGTTACTGGTCAGCGTGCAATCGATTTTTCACGCTTAGAAGAAGAGGAAAATATTCTCTTGCTTGATCACGTAAGACATGACTTCTTTTACAAGCTTTCTTCTGTCTGAAAAGACTTAAAAACTAATCTTTAGTTGTTGGATTTGTATGAAACAGATAAAGAAGTTGCTTAGAGAACAGAGACTCAGAGACATTGTTGATAGCAATTTGACTACATATGACTCTAAAGAAGTTGAAACCATTGTTCAAGTGGCTCTTCTCTGCACGCAAGGCTCACCAGAAGATAGACCAGCGATGTCTGAAGTTGTTAAAATGCTTCAAGGGACTGGTGGTTTGGCTGAGAAATGGACTGAATGGGAACAACTTGAAGAAGTTAGGAACAAAGAAGCATTGTTGCTTCCGACTTTACCAGCTACATGGGATGAAGAAGAAACCACCGTTGATCAAGAATCTATCCGATTATCGGCAGCAAGATGAAGAAGAAATAGAGAGAGATATATCTATGAAATCAAACTTGCGTTACAAAAGATAAACATAGAAAGTATTTTAAGAGGCTAATTGTATTGAAACAGGTGGGAAAAACGAAGCAAAGCACAACGTTGATTTGTGTAATAGATGATATGATATACATAACATATAACTAGTTGTGGTTTGTATATATGAATTGGTTATTGTCGTATGATAATGATGATCATGGTTGTTATTGTGACACTATTTGCTCTGTTTTTTACTTGCATTGGTTTTAGAAAGGACGCTACGTCGTCGTTTCATATTGTGTCCGTATAAATTATATTAGTTTTGAACTCAGTCCTTAACATTTTAGCCGGTTTTTCAATTTTATCTTCAAATTTTCATTCTCACATCTTTGCCCCACTTGTGACATTGCTAGATTATATAAGGTGATGTTTATGGCTAAACTTACGTTAAGTTTTCTTGTTCCTACCAACATCTTAAGTTATCATAGATTGTAATTTCTAAATGATGTATTTTCAATCCAATTTCCACTAACTATCTATCACGAGAAATTATTAGTCTAGTGATTATATTGGAAGGGATAATACAGTGACAGAACAGAACAAAACAAATATAGATTTTTTTTTGTTATGACAGGGATTCAGAGTTGAGATTCATAACAACAGAACTTTCATGGATTAGGATTTATTCTTAAACCCTAGATCCTCTGATATTAAAACACAACAAATTGTTAATTTTGGTGTTGTGTACTTTGTGAGCGTTAAATGAAGATGAGGCAAGGAATGGGACCGGAGACAGACGTAAGCGGTCAGTGAAAAAGAGAACTCCTTTCTAACTTCCTCGTAAACCGGGCTGTTTTTCTCGGTTCTTGGTGCTTGGTTTCCGCTGACACCGACATGTCCGGTTCCCAGGTAACTTTCTTCTTCATCGTCCGATTCAACTATGAATGAACGATCCAGATCTTTATTTCCTTTTCTATCTCTTTGGTTTGTTGTGACGTGTTCTTCGGTATTTCTCCTGAGCCTCTCAGACGTACCCTAAATAACAAAAGGGTCCCCCAAAAAAATAAAAATAAACATTATAAGCAAAATTTTATTGAATATGCAATCAATAGGGAGACAACGTTACAAGCTATATGTATGCATATTAACATGTTGAAAAGAAAAAAAAAATGTATCATATGAAAAAATGGGATGATTCCAAATGGTAGACAACATGATTCATATTAGTATACATGAATTTTATTACTAGTAAGTAGTAAAAAACCTATAGCATCGCAAAATCTTCTCTACCAGTAATATACATGAATTGGTCAAAAAATCTCATAAATGTAAAATCATACAACTACTTTAATTTATAACTAAAAAAGACAAAAATTTAGTAAGTCGTTGAGGTGGAGCCAAAAGTAATAATAAGGTAATAATAAGGTAATAATAAATCGAGACGAAGGTACTTGTCTTCAATTCAATACCATTAGACATATATGCACATTTACTACTGTGCAAATATATATATATATATATATATATATATATATATACCATTAGACATATATGCACATTCAGAAGAAAAAAAAAATGATCCTATAGTATATACTATATAGCATGTAACTTTTGCAATAGAAATCAATAATATTTGGTCTAGAAACTACAACAAAAATGTCCAAACTAATTACTTGGACTGTATTAGTATTACAACATGTGCAAATATAGTTTTGGCTTTTGGAGACTTTTTTTTTCTTTCTGATAAAAGCTTTTGGAGACTTGACAGAGAGATTTTAAATAAGAGGAAGATTGCTGTTGGCCTCGGAAATGACTGAAATTAAATATACACAAGAAACAATTAAAGACAAATGTAGATATTTTTCTAAAAAGAAGACTGAATTAAATCATGGAAATGGTTTGAACTTTGAATGTACTAAGTCGGAGTATGTCGGATTTTACCACTCTCGAGTCTCGACTACACTGTAAAATTCTATTTTTAGGTAACCCTACACACACTATATGAAGACTATAACCAAAATTAACCAAAAACTATTAAACCAAAGTTACTAAATCAATGTAAGAAAATGCAAAAGAAAAATCTAGGGCTTAGATCTTTTGTCCTCTCTATAAATAGAAGAAACTACTTGGGTCTTTTAGCCCTGTCACATGCTTCCTTCTTCTTCTTCTTTTCTCTTACATAAAGTTGTTGCTCACATTCTTGTCTTCTTCATCTTCTTCTTATTCGGAAGCGATTTAGGGTTTAGAGGAATGTTGTTTGGCTCGAGGTCATGGAGAGTAATTCGTTACCAAAACACAAAACTCTAAATGATTCTCGGACCAGGCTTCATTCCCCTCAACCTATTTTATCGCATTTTTCTCAAAAACTTTTCACATTTTATATCACTTCTCATGCTATTGAAAACCTACGTTTCAGAAGCTTTTTGGTCCATGTAGAATCATTTATCAACCATATGTTACAGTGTTAATTCTTATATAATCTCATTAAGAAACGATCTTTAAATAGCTAGAATTATGTCTCTACCCACTGTTTATTTACCCTATGTTTCACTGTTTCCCTATTTAATTACTTTGAACTTTACAAGGGTTTCGAACCTGTTTTTATTTGCACGCAGAGTTTGTAGCTGCTTTTTTTTTTTTTTTTTGTAGCTGTTGTTTTTGCTAGAAACATAAAACCAAAGAAATCTGGATATATGCATGCAAATCTTGTTTTGATTCACTTTCTGAAGCATTTTATTTACTGATTCTTTAACATCTAATATTATTAACTTTGAAACAACAATCTGTTTAGGCATCTTGGAGGATATAAATAAGATTGAGAGAGTAAAACTTGTAGAGAGTGAAATGCTCCATTTTCACATCTTTGAGTTCAGTGTATAATTTTTTCCAACCTTTCAGTAAAACCATTGACATATATTAACTGAGGTGAAAAAGGAAGAGAAAAGTAAAGGTTAAACCAAAGAACAAAAGAAACCTTTGCACGTGAATGAATGATATACTAGAAAGGATGGTTTTTCCTCATTATCAAAGTCTCGTCAAGTTGAAAATGCTATTTCATGTAATTGGAAACAATCATTTTAATTTGTGTTATATATTATTATTCTTAAAACATAAACAAAGTTTTGATTCCTAGATAGTGATTGATTGTTATTTTTCATGAAAGAAGTCTATAAGAAAGAGAGAGCGAGATTGGACGTGATTTGCGAGGGCATATGGAAATATCGCTGCTTTCTTCGATCGGGGTGTGTTAAAATAGTTTAGATAGACTTGAAGAGTGAATTAGAATTTCAAAGATTTTGGTAAGCATTTTTTTACTATGAGCAAAAACTTAATTTAAATTGTAACTCTAGAAAACGTCTATCATCAAGTTTTTCTGTCCATGAGGACCTTGTAAATTGTAATTAAACGAACGAACAATCGGTCAAAGATCTGTTTCAAACAAAAAAAAAAAAATCGGTCAAAGAAAATGGAAAATAACCACATAAACGATGTCGTTTGTAACGAATACTCAAACGATGTCCGAACCAACGTTGCTTTTCAGACACGAAACCAAAATTTTATAATTTGCAATCGGTTTATTTGTTTGACTCCATTACTCGCATCTCTTCTTCTTCTTAACTCTGTCTGAAAATCTTCTTCTTCTTCGTTTTTCTGAAATACTTTTATGATGGAGCCCGATAACGTAGAGCGTAATCTTCAATCCCTGAGAAGACTATACTGTCTTCTCGATTTAAATGCAAGAAACGAATCCATACCCGAACCATATCTGGTGAGTTTAATTTCTCTGTGAATTCTCATCTTCAACCTCAGAATCTAACATTTGGATTCCTCAATGCGCAGTTGGATGAGAACACTCAGTTTCTATTAAAGAGATTGCTCGATTTTGCTTCCCATGAACTTTTCGTTACACAATCAAAGGTCTGTAACCGTCAGTTTTCTATCTTGAGTAAAAATACTCTGTTTTCACATGTTTCACGTTTCTGAAATTTGGTTACTATAATTTTGAATTTTGTTACAGATACTTGCAACACAATTAGGTTTGTTTCCTAGAACGGATTTACACAGTGCAAAGCCGTCTACTGTGGCGGATTCTTCTGTGACGATGCCACCTCCAATGTCGTCTCAGGTTACGCGAATTAGTAAACCATTGGAGGTGAAAGGAGCCTTAAGGCGAGATCTGAGAGTTGATCAGATTCAAAGCAATCCTAGTAAGGATGGTTTAACAGAAGAAGTTGCTGATGCAATCGAACAAATCGATACACAGCTTTCCGCTTTAAGCTTTGTTTCTAGTCGTGTGGACTCTGATGATAGAACAGGGTCTTGCAAGTCCTCTGTAACTCCTCCCATTGAAGAGCGCAGAAAAAACTTTCAAGCTTCTATGTCTTGTTTAAGAAACAATTTCATGCCAATGAGTCAGAGAAGTGTGAATGGTGGTGCAGATGTAACAGTTCGAAGCCATGATGATCTTCCTTTGCCTTCTAATGATCAGTTTGTTCGGGTCACGTCACGACCGCAGCCATTACCGCCTCTTGCTGTGAGACCTGTTGGTTTCAAGAAGCCAAGTCAAAGAAACAGAACGTCACAAAAGATGCCTAGTATGAAACCAACGTTGATGTATCAAGAAACCGAAACGTGGGATGATGAATCTTTTGAAACAGAGCGTGAACGAACACCGTCTGGGACAGGTTCTGAGTCGGAAGACGAAGAAGTTTCAATTGACCAAGAATACTCTGGGGAAACAGGGTCAAGCTCTGGCTCAGACTGGGAAACTCAAGCAGAGAATGACACCGAGTCTGAGTCAGAATCATTATATCCACCACAGAGTGATGACTCTGCTTCTGAATCTGAAGTCAGCTCTTCTCCTCCGCATACAAACAGAGACGCATCAAGAGAACCTGCAAAACAGAGAAGAAATGTAATGGGACGATTTAAAAGGATAAAGAATAAGATAGGACAAGTATTTCACCATCATCACCACCACCACCACCATCATCACCACCACGACAAGAATAAGCCATCAGCTTGGAAGAATTTGCAGAGTAAATTTCACCAAAAGCACAAAGAGAAATCAGATGAGAAGAAACGGACGACGTCAGAATCCAGAGGTCTTACTACACATAAGCAACAACATCAAGGTGGCCACTTTCACGCGCTAGTGGAAGGATTGGTGAGACATAGAAAACACTCAAAGAAACAAAATCAGAAGCTGCATAGTGATGCCAAGCAAACGCAGTGGTGGAAAATCTTGAAGAAGCGTCAAGGTGGTGGTGTGAAGATTCCCAAAAGAGGACGTGTGAAGTTGGGAAAAAAACATTATTTGTCCAAAAATGTTTAAGAACATGAAGAAAACTAGTCTCGATTATTACAGAGCAAAACAATTGTCAAATATTCAAGTTGAAAGTTTCATGCCTCCTAAATCGTTTGTTCTGGTTTTAAGAAACCTTGTTAAGAGACAAATCACTTAACTCTCCCACAAGAGAGGCACTATCATAATAGCACATCTCACACTCCTTATCGTGCCAAGTGTTTGCATAGGTGCAGCGATCACAGTACCATAAAGGACCCGCCCCACCGTTGTATGACTTCACCCTCACATCGACCAAACCATCTTGCAAAGTTTTGATGAAATCATAAAAGTAGTTACCAATGTTGCTTGTCGCCGTGGGTATCGTATGTCTGAAGAAACTACACTCTTCATAAGTAGCTGCAGTGAGGACGATATCTTTTTGCTCTTGTAAAGTGTTTGAGTAACTCTGGAGAGCCGCGATCGCATTTCCTTGCAGGTATCGTAGATACTCCTTCTTCGAGTTCTCAATCTCATACTCTGTGTGGAAATAGTCATACAAACAACACCATTTAAGGACTCGTCTGCATTGAACAATCAACATCAACCCTTCTCTTATAATCATAATGTCTTGCTCCCTTAATAAATAACTCGGTTTCTTGATGTTGGATTCCTCGAAAGCTTCTAGATCGGATTTGGCTTGCTCAAGTAAATTCTGACACACGTCCCAGCGATCGTCACATAAAATCCCCACTTCTGTTTTAACACAGAATCCAGAGTCTACTGCTTCAATTTTGTGGGCTTCCTCGATCGCAAACATCTCGAACAGAAACGAAGCCTAAAGCAAGATACCACAAAAGAGTAGGATCAAGACTTACATAGATCAATTCTATGTAATTTGCAAAAGAAAGATAATTTTTTTTCATTAGGGTGAAACCTGCAAACACAAGTTGTTTAGCCACGTAGCAAATAGATAATGTTTAGTCTGATGTTGTTTTCTTAATTTTTTTTAAGTCTTTTTTGGTATGGATTTTTTTAAGTCTTAAGTTATTTAGTGTATATTCTCTAATTTTTTATAAGGTTGTTTCTTTCTATCGATGATATTTTATATTATCAAGTAAAGTTACATGACATGGATATAGACGGTCTCATACAGAGCCGGCTCTAACATTTTGAAGGCCACAAGCTTAGAAAAAAAGAGAGGCCTAATTTCTTCTCAAAAAAATTGTTAAAGCATTACTACAAATGTGAGAATCGAACCCTCAACCTTGCACTTCCTTCTGGCCAGCATTTAACCAGTTGAGCTATAAGAGAATTTTAGAAAAAGGAGGGCCGATATATTAATAACTACATCTGGGGCCACAAGCACATGCCTCCCTAGCTTGTGGCTAGGGCCGGCTCTGGTCTCATATTTTCTCTTCTTTTATTGTCACAATTTTATTATGACGTCAAACTTTTCTTAAAAAACATCTATATTTAGGTAACTCAGACTATATGTTTACATATTATACATATATTGTTCATATGTTTACGTAACTATACTAGGATATGACCCGCGGTACACCGCGGGTTAATTATTTGATTTTTTTATTTTTATAAATTGATGAATTTATTGTGTATAATATTTTTTGTTGTATACCGCGGGTCACATGCGTTGTATCTAAAATAAAAAAATTTAAGTTGTATTTGTTTTGTTTAGTGTTTAAGATTGTATAATTGTATTTTGATTTGTTATTTATAGGATTTCACCTGTGGTATATTGTCTCGTATTAATATTGACCCAAACCCGTCCAACCATATAATCTAAAATGAAATTAAACATCATTTTGTTATTTTTTTAATAACACTTTTATTTAAATGTCATATAATTCGAGTTAATTTGAAAGTTGCTTTAAAATAGTTTCCATGTATATTTTTAAATTAGTGTGTGTTTTTGGACCAACCCGTAAAAACAATTTATAATTGTATCTTAAAATACTAATTAGGATTTCACCCGTGATATACTGTCCCATTTTAGATAATTGTAAAAATTAAAGAAAGATCCGAATGACTCAATTTCGGGTCTGAATAAAATAACGACATGATTAAATGCTCAATTTGTTCTTAAAAATGTTAATATAGATTACACACATATTTTTATTCATCGATTGAGTAATATATGTCCGTTTTAAAAAATTTGAATTGTAACATATGCAGAAAAAAAAAAACTAAAATTTACTAACTATTTATATATTTTATAATAATTTAAAATAATATAAATATAAGATCAAATAAAAGTGAAATAAGAATCATATATTTATGTTTAAATTAGGTAGAGAGGTTTTAGGAAATTAGTGCAAATTTGTTATATTATCATTAAATCATCATATTTGATTTCTTTATCTATAAAAATCGTGGAGAATATACCATAAATAAAGCGTTTAAATATAGTAATTAGTTGAGAAAGTATATATATTTTAGATTTTATTAATTATTTTCGTTTTTTAATTTTGCCAAAATTTAAGGAAAGATCCGATTGAAGATTTCCGGGTCAAAATTAAACAAATTTGACCCGATTTGGGTACCCCAAAAACTGCTGCAAAAATGTATAGTAGATAATTTTATATTTTCTTATTGTCATAATTTTATTTTCATCTTGCCTACATTGAAATTATAAGATGTAACACACTCTTCCGATAGATGTAAATAACTTATTAGAATTCAATAATACAACATATGAACATTTATAGACTTTTAGTTAACCTTACAAAAATAAAATAAAAATATTAAGAATTATAGTCTCTACATGACAACTTAGCATTCTTATTGAAGTTAATGAGCAATGATGGAGTATCTCTCAATATGCGTATGGCGATCCCTTGGTTTTTGTGGGGTATATGGAAGCATCGTAATGGTATAAAATACGCTGGGACTCAAGGTGATTTGAATGCTCTTGTAACTCATGCACTTGAAGAAGCGGAGGTGTGGAATAAGTTAATGGAGGCACCATCACATTCTTCAAGTGGCAGGGCTACGGTTATTAGACTTGATTCTCGTTGGTCTAAACCTCCGCTTGAGATGCTCAAATGTAATATCCATGTGTCATGGTTGAATGATTCTCACATGTGTGGTGGAACGTGGATTGTAAGGAATCACCAAGGAGATGCAGTCTTTCATGCGAGAGAAATGTTTTTACCAGCTTCAAATCGCATTGCCGCTGAATTAAGAGGGTTTTTATGGATGTTACACAGTCTTTATGATCTACATTTGAATAACATCGAGGTTTGGTCGGATTGCAATGCTGCAGTGGAAGCAATTATTGATTCACCAAATTGGCCACGGTATCATTCTTATCTTGACAGAATTCACCGCTTACTTCCTCAGTTTGGTAAAGTAATTTTCAAGGTATCATCTACAAAAGCGAATGGGATAGCACGAGAGATAGCTTCGAGCGTCACGAGGGATGGACGTGAGCAGTCCTACTTAGCTCGTGGTGGTCATGTGTGGTTGCAGTCCCGTATCGATGAGGAAAAGAGGCGTTAATGTAGTTTAAAGCTTTGAGTGTTTTTGCTTATTCTTGTGAGCGTGAGGCTCTGTTTAAGGTTTATGCTCTGTTTTGGGTTATCATGTTCTGTTTCTTTTGTATTTGAATACTTCTCCTCATTTTAATATGATCATTTAGACGGAAAAAAAAAAAAATTATAGTCTTGACCGGTAATTCGTACCACGCACGGATCCATATCTAGTTCGGATATAAAATGAACATAACTAATTAAAGTTGAAGTATGAAAAAGGCAGAGATCGCCACAACACGACCAAACTGATATCTGCGAGGCCCAGCCCAATAAGATAATTGTTTTTTTTTTTTTTTTTTTCATCACCCAATAAGATATTATCAGATCTAACCCTAATAAACAAAGTTTCAGATCTGCAGCCGCATATGTCTACGTCTCTATTGGGTTGTTGAGAGAAGACTCTAATTTTGTAGCTCTCCGTCGAAACTCGAACCATGTCTCCCGACGAAACCATGTCTCCCGACGAAACCATGTATCCCGACGAAACCATGTCTAATGTGGATGGTGCTTATTGGGCCGAGATATACGCCAGTAAGATCTCGCTATATCTCTAGAAGTTGTTTCGTCTTTATATTTGATAATAAGATCTCTCTGATTGTTAACTAATATTTGATCTGTCGTACTTGATAGTAAATTTTTTTAATGGATTGTATTGAAATTTGATTTCCGGTGGCAGAGGGTAACACAGGTGTGTTCTGGGACGTGGTGGATTTCCCAATCCCTAATGGTGATCCTTATTTGATCTCTAAGAAAATCAGATCAGCTCTTAAGGATAAGGGTTGTTATAATGGTCCTGTCTCAATCTGGTTGTACCAAGATGAGAAAAACCTCCTCCCCAAAGAAATGATAGATAAATATGAGGCTGCCGGAATCAGTATCAATTTCGTACCCGAAGGTGAGTGAATTCCTTTACCTAATATATATAATCTCTCTCTTTTTACACACATATGTCTCTTATGTAATCTAGATCTCTGTTGATATGTAGTTGCTGAGGCGTATATTCATGCGAGAGTTCATAAGATGTTTGTGGACATTCTTTTCTGGGCACTGGACAATCCTGCACACTCCAATTTGATTGTACTCTCAAAAAACCTCAAAGACAACGAGACGGTCAGTAATCTTCAGGCTTTACATTGGTCATGTATGAATGTTCTCTTAGCCGAGCCTGTATCTAAAGGGCTGCCTTTTACTGAAAGCTCAGCTTGGCTTTGGAGTAGGCTTTGTGAAAGCCTATCATCAGATGGAGCCGGAAGCTCACAAATTATGTTATGATGATCCACTCTGTGATTGATCATCTTTGGTTTGATCATTTATGGGACTAAGAGTAAACGCATGTATGTGTCGTTTTGTTATTCTGATGCTGTTTTATAACTAATTTATGAAGTGATATGTGTACTTGATGTTATGGTAAATTGCTCGATGGCTGTATTTATTGCAAGGATCCTGAGATTCACTTTAAAGTACATTGCGGACGCTGCAAAAACTGGCCAAACAAAACTATTAAACTAGTGTGTGTGGCAAGAGAATCCAATTTGAAAAAAATTATGCAATATAAACTTTTCGAAAAAGCTCGATTTTTTTGGGTCGGTTATCAAGATTTATTTCACATCCGAAACTAAACTGAAAACTTCGTATTCAGTTTTTTTGGAAAAACGGTCTATTTCCCCCCGATAACTATCGCATCATAACAGATGCAGCCCAAACTTTAACCCCGGTTCTAATGTCCCTGAAATGTACTTTTGAGGCCTAATTCCCCCCGAATTGGAAGTTCACCATCTAAATGTCTCCATGTCTGGGTTTCGTCGGTTTGGTGCGTTGACCCGAGACCAAACCAGATTTTGGTCGTAACTTAACAAAAAAAAAACCGATTCCATATTTTTACCCGACCCACTAATGCTTTTAAACCCCAAAATCAAAATCCCCAAATTCGAAATCGTTTTTCCACAATTGAAGAACCCTAGATTCTAAAATTTTGATTAACCCAGAAATCGAGTTGCTGCAAGATGAGCAATATGTCAATGAGTTCGTCGGGATCTACAGGTCCTCGTGGAAGAGGCAGAATCGTCGGGGTGCCAAAGAGATGTTGGTGCGGGGAAGAAATTGTGGCACTAAATTCAAAATCCGATTCCAATCCTTGCCGGAGATACTATCGTTGTGGTGTTGCTGCTAAACTTAGGGTAATTTCATGCTTGTTTCAATTGTTTTGTATTGTATCTTGTTTAAGATTCTCTTAATGGACCAATGACATGTTAAATTGTAGCTAAGGAACGATGAACACACGTTCAAATGGGTTGATGAAGCCTTGCTCAATGAGATAGATGCATTGAAAGAAAAGAATGTTGAACTTGAGAAGGAGGTTACAAAGCTTAAGACAGAGAGTTTGGAGATTGAGAAGATCGTTTGCGAGAAGGTCGAAATGATGATAGAGAAGGAGATATTTGAGAAGGTGGAAGATGCTTTGTCTGAAGCCAAAGGAAGCACTAAGAAGATGATGATTGTCGTTGTGATAGGGTGTATGATCATGATTGGAATCATCAAATTAGTCGGATGAACCATTGATCACTTCATTGTAGTTGTTGTGTTGGTTGAATGTTTGTGTTTTGGTTCTAGCTTTAGATTTATGATTAAGCTAATGGAGTTTGTAGTTTGGATTTATGATCAAGACATTATGTAATAAGAGAATGGTTTTTGTTTTGTATCAAGAGAATGGTGGTTGTCTTGTATTAAGAGAATTGGTTGGTTTGGATAAAGAGAATGGCTTTGGTCATTCTGTGTTTTTACGAATTGGTCATAACAGAGAACAAAACAATCAAATTCAAGTTAAGAGAAACCAACATTCTTTAAAACATTCATTCTACATCCATCCGAAGAGACATTAATTCAAAAGACCTAGAAACATTCAAAAGGTTTAGAAAACAGAGGGATACACAAGTCATATGTGATCGAAAATTAGATAGAGACAACCACATTTGTGCCCTACATCTACTTAGCTACTACTCCACTAAGCTTGAGTGAGTGACCCTTGACTTGGTTCAGCTTGAGAAGAGTGGAAAACATCTTGAGAACCCTGAAACACAAGATCACATGTTGTCAAATTGGACACAAAACAAAACAAAACAAAACAAAACAAAACAAACCTTATCTTTCTTGTGATGCCTAGCATTGTGATCAGCTGTCCCACAGACACGACAATGCATGATCCTTTTCTTGTTCTTTGGTGCCTTCTTAGTAGGAGACTCATTGACACCCTTCTTCCTCTTCTTATCCTTCTTTGTCATCTCCTTATCCTTCTCTCCTTCTGGTGGCTGTGGTATATGCACAGGAGGAGCATTAGTCTCAGGCCAAAACTTAGGACCTCTCTGTGGACACACACCATCAGTGTAGTTTTTTTTCCAAGTAGATGTCCTGAACCAGTGACACACGTAGTCCTCTGGTGCAAGCTTCTTGTCCAGAATTACTCCATATGCATGCTCACACGGGATGCCACATATCTGCCACTTCTGGCATGTACATGTGTAGCTCTTTAAGCACACACGATGATAATCAGCACCATGCCTGACTTCATACATCCCATTAGTGCTTGTAGACACCTTTGCCTCAGAAGCTAGCTTGTGTTCAGCAGACAGAAATAATGCAACATAAGGAGTGCAGCTACCTGCAAAAAAAAAGAGATTGAAGAGCTTTATATCTCAAAACAGACCCAAATTCATAGCAAGTATACAAAAAAAAACAGAAGCTTTACCTGTGTGAGTATGAGATTCAACAGACCTCTTTGCAATCCTCACCATAGCCATTCTTCTTATAGCCTCTAACATAGCCACAAATGGCTTTTCTCTTGCCTTGTTCAAAGAGCCATTGAAAGACTCAGTGAAGTTGTTGTCCACATCCTCACAGTAGTTGCCTCTCTTCTGGAATGCCCTGCACCAACTCATTGGATTTGTCTTCATGATGTCATTGAAGACAACTGTGTCATAGCAGAAGATCCTCTCTAGTTTCTGCTTATAATCTTTCTCATTATAAGCCCAAGCTAAATCCCATAACAGTGGCTTCATGCGGGTTTTACTTCCATGATTCTTCTTCAAGTTCCCATATATATGCTGAACACACATCCTATGCTCTATGTTTGGCAACTCAAGTTGAACACTTTTGATCAAACCCTGAAATCAAGAACAAACCAATATATCAATACCACAGAATTTAAAACCAAAAAGAGAAGGAAACAAAAGAAACTGAAGATACCTTTTGCCTATCTGAGAGCATGATGTAGCCTTCACCATCACCTAATCCTAAATCTTCCTTCAAATTCTTCACAAACCAAACCCAATTCTCAGTATTCTCTACTTTAACTACTCCCCATGCCACAGGATATATGCGATTATTAGCATCCCTACCTAATGCAACCAACAACTGTCCCTTTACCTTGTTCTTCAAAAAGCAGCCATCAATGCCAAGAAGAGGCCTACAGCTCTCCTTCCAAGTCTTTCTTAGGCTATCAAAACAGACATAAAACCTATTGAACATGTCTTTACCTTCCTCATTGGTCAGACAATCAACTTCTACATGTGAATCCGGGTTTGACTCAAGAATCTCAGCAGCATAGTCTCTTAATCTCGCAAACTGCTCATCATACTCCTTCTCAATCCATTGCCTTGCCTTCTTTCTCGCAGCCTGACATTGATTCCTAGTGACACTGATCTTCCATTGCTCCTTTATCATTTCTTCAATCTTAGCTGGCATATAGAATTCCGGATTATCCCTAATCTTATCAACGAATAACCTAGCTATCTGTGGCACCTTAAACATCTCACACTCCCCATTTGGGATGCAGCTATGGTTATCTACAAACTTCCTAATCTTCCACATGTTATCTTTAGGAAGAATCGCGGCATAAACTTGCCATTCACATCGTACTCCTTCCTCTTTACCATCGTTACCAACACATTTGAAGCCAATTTTATCATTGTCATACCTGTACTGCTTCAGATTGCATCCTGTCCTAAGAGCATAATCAACCACAGCTTCCTTGAACGCAACTCCACTGAAGAAAGTTTGCTTATGGTACAAATGACCATCGCCTCGCCTGATATGAGTATGAACTCTCTCAGGACCATCGCCATTCTCTTCAGCATCGCTCTCTGGGTACACATCATGGCGAATCGGAGGTTCGTCATTCCACTCATTCAACATTTCTTCGACGTGAAATTGGTCTCTGTCTTCAGCTTCAGGATCGACATCACCAATATCGGGGTCACGAACAACTACAGACATCCTTCGATTGCAGAGATTGGAAGCTTCGATCTCTCTAGGGTTCGTCGGAGATTGAAGAGCTTTTTTTGGTTTCTGATTTTAGGGTTTGCGTTTTCGATTTTGGGGTTAAATCGGGGTGGGTTTTGGTTAAGTTAGTGTAATCGGGTTGAATTTTGGTACATTAGGGTTTACTCTGGTTAATAAAACATTTAATCGGTTTAGCATTGGGTTTTCAATACAGTAAACCGATTAAACCCAGATTCGTGTGGTTCTAACTCTCGAACATTTGATTAGGAGAGAAATAAGAAGTGAACTTCCGTTTCGGGGGGAACTAGGCCTCAAAGGTACATTTCAGGGACATTAGAACCGGGGTTAAAGTTTGGGCTGCATCTGTTATGATGCGATAGTTATTGGGGGGAAATAGACCGTTTTTCCAGTTTTTTTTAACCCGAACTAGAGCTGTATGAAGTACCAATATATAAAAAAATAACCATTACAGACCATTGCAAAAGCTGCTAAGCTAGCATTTTCATCAAGTTTAAACTAACATTGTATTTGTATCAAATAACCATTACAGACCATTACAAAAGCTGCTAAGCTAGCATTGTATCAAATAACCATATTACAGAACTGTTAAGGTTTTATAACCTGTAAAGGCTTAAGCTTTATCTCATTTGTCATCAACACCAAAATACGGAAACAGATCAAGTAAAGTATGGAGAAGAAGCAGAAGATAAAACAGAGCTAGATGAAGGAAGAAGAGGAGCACACAAAGGATTTGTTAACCCGGTGCAGGGCATTAACGAATCGCTACGTCTGATTAGGATCGATAGATCACAACTCCACTATGAAGAAGATGGTGATTACAAACAAGAAGCTACAAGTGACCCGTCTAATATCCTTCACTAGTACTTATAATCACTTTATAATACTTCAAGAATAACAATGATAAGCTTATACTAATACATGTTTTCTCTTATCTCTACACTCGTCTAACTCTTCTTCTTAGATCTACATTGTGCTATTACATTCTCTCTTCTCCCTTGGCCTCTCTTAATGAACATAAGCACCTATATATAGACATAGCTAACTAGGGCTTCCTTGAGCTAAAGCAACCTGCAACCCTTTTTGAACACAAACAGACAAAATGTCCTTATGGCTGATATGAGGCTACTTCCAGGCAATTTCCTTCATAGCTGTTTCCCCATTAATGTGGTCCAAAAGTAACTCAACCAAGATTTGATTTATATCACCTTTGGTTAGTCTTCAACGGTTGTGAGTTTTACACTTAAAATTGGCTTGTGCTACAAGCTATCATCTTCACAAATCTCCACTTGATAGCATAAGCAACAAATAGTCACCAGCATATGGTTTGAGAGAAAGAGAGTACATGATTCTACTTTCTTGGATTCAGTCTAGGCTCCTTAGAGTCATCACTTATCTTTGATATGTAGCAGTTTAATACACCATAAACTTGCTCTACCCTTCAGCATGTAACTTATGTTCAATGCATTTTAGCTGTGACTACTCACACTGCTAAACCTGAGCCATCAACACATCTTTAGTTCACCAGAGTTGTGAAAACCAGCTCCTATACAGACTTGTATAAAGCTCTACTTTTCAACGATCACTTCATGATGCATTCAACACCTATATATTGATGTAACCACTCAGCAAAACTCCATTTAACAAGTCAAGAAAACACCTCAAGCTTGTTAATTCAACAGAAAAAACTCCAAAAGCTTCACCACCTATGAAATGTTCAATCACACAGTCTCCACCATGGCCTATGTTAAGACCACAAACCTGTATCAGTGATTTTAATCATCCTTTTCATTCTGCAAACCTGATTCCTTTGTCGACTACTTGATTCATCTCATGTGCACTGAGCCTTGAATCAAATCCTTTTCATAACCACATAAACGATGTCGTTTGTAACGAATACTCAAACGATGTCCGAACCAACGTTGCTTTTCAGACACGAAACCAAAATTTTATAATTTGCAATCGGTTTATTTGTTTGACTCCATTACTCGCATCTCTTCTTCTTCTTAACTCTGTCTGAAAATCTTCATGATTCTGACTCCATTATTTGTTTGATCTTCCTTTGCCTTCTAATGATCAGTTTGTTCGGGTCACGTCACGACCGCAGCCATTACCGCCTCTTGCTGTGAGACCTGTTGGTTTCAAGAAGCCAAGTCAAAGAAACAGAACGTCACAAAAGATGCCTAGTATGAAACCAACGTTGATGTATCAAGAAACCGAAACGTGGGATGATGAATCTTTTGAAACAGAGCGTGAACGAACACCGTCTGGGACAGGTTCTGAGTCGGAAGACGAAGAAGTTTCAATTGACCAAGAATACTCTGGGGAAACAGGGTCAAGCTCTGGCTCAGACTGGGAAACTCAAGCAGAGAATGACACCGAGTCTGAGTCAGAATCATTATATCCACCACAGAGTGATGACTCTGCTTCTGAATCTGAAGTCAGCTCTTCTCCTCCGCATACAAACAGAGACGCATCAAGAGAACCTGCAAAACAGAGAAGAAATGCAATGGGACGATTTAAAAGGATAAAGAATAAGATAGGACAAGTATTTCACCATCATCACCACCACCACCACCATCATCACCACCACGACAAGAATAAGCCATCAGCTTGGAAGAATTTGCAGAGTAAATTTCACCAAAAGCACAAAGAGAAATCAGATGAGAAGAAACGGACGACGTCAGAATCCAGAGGTCTTACTACACATAAGCAACAACATCAAGGTGGCCACTTTCACGCGCTAGTGGAAGGATTGGTGAGACATAGAAAACACTCAAAGAAACAAAATCAGAAGCTGCATAGTGATGCCAAGCAAACGCAGTGGTGGAAAATCTTGAAGAAGCGTCAAGGTGGTGGTGTGAAGATTCCCAAAAGAGGACGTGTGAAGTTGGGAAAAAAACATTATTTGTCCAAAAATGTTTAAGAACATGAAGAAAACTAGTCTCGATTATTACAGAGCAAAACAATTGTCAAATATTCAAGTTGAAAGTTTCATGCCTCCTAAATCGTTTGTTCTGGTTTTAAGAAACCTTGTTAAGAGACAAATCACTTAGCTCTCCCACAAGAGAGGCACTATCATAATAGCACATCTCACACTCCTTATCGTGCCAAGTGTTTGCATAGGTGCAGCGATCACAGTACCATAAAGGACCCGCCCCACCGTTGTATGACTTCACCCTCACATCGACCAAACCATCTTGCAAAGTTTTGATGAAATCATAAAAGTAGTTACCAATGTTGCTTGTCGCCGTGGGTATCGTATGTCTGAAGAAACTACACTCTTCATAAGTAGCTGCAGTGAGGACGATATCTTTTTGCTCTTGTAAAGTGTTTGAGTAACTCTGGAGAGCCGCGATCGCATTCGCTTGCAGGTATCGTAAATACTCCTTCTTTGAGTTCTCATACTCTGTGTAGAAATAGTCATACACACAACACCATTTAAGGACTCGTCTGCATTGAACAATCAACATCAACCCTTCTCTTATAATCATAATGTCTTGTTCCCTTAATAAGTCACTCGGATTCTTGATGTTGGATTCCTCGAAAGCTTCTAGATCGGATTTGGCTTGCTCGAGTAAATTCTGACACACGTTCCAGCGATCCTCACATAAAATCCCCACTTCTGTTTTAACACAGAATCCAGAGTCTACTGCTTCAATTTTGTGGGCTTCCTCTGACCGCAAACATCTCGAACAGAAACGAAGCCTAAAGCAAGATAACACAAAAGAGTAGGATCAAGACTTAAATAGAACAATTCTATGTAATTTGCAAAAGAAAGATATTTTTTCATTAGGTTGGTGAAACCTGCAGACACAAGTCAAGAACTGAGGCATTTTTGTATCAGACTCCAGAGAACAAAGGCAATGAGGGCAAGTCACTGTCTTGGTTTTGGTCGAGCAAAGGCTAAATGATTCATCTGATAATTTCCTTGAGGCACTAGACAACCAATCAGAGGCCTTGTTGCAGGTCACTGGTCTGTGTGACTCAAGTCTGCATCTCCAACAGAAGATATGACCACAGAGACACACCACGTTTAAACTATACTCATCATCATCATCATTCTCCTGATGAAACTCAATGACGTAATTGCAATCCCGAGCAGGACACTGTTTGATCATCAATACCTTGTTTCCTTCAATGTAAGATCTCAAGATGTACCTCTCGTACATCTCTTGATCACGTACAGTTAGTTTCTCAATCGTGTCCGGTCCAACCGCAGATCGACAATCTTGATCAGGACAAGAGATTGCAGTTTGGATTTTCTCCACATAGTAAAAGTTCTTCTCAAGATACTCTCTCCAATATGTTGTGTCGAACTTGTGAGAACAAAAGGGCGTGGAGATCAAATCATCATTATCATCGTTATAATCTTCATCATCATCATCATCATCAGCAAACTCATAAACATCGGTCTCCAAGCTAATCTCGCTAGATGAATCTGGATTGGGATCAATCACAACTGATTCCAAACCTGAATCCATCAATAACTTCTCCTTATTTTCACCCAAACGCTCTGAAACACGAAGCGAATCCCATCGGAGATACATAAGAAGTACGGTCGCATCGGATTTTGATATGAAGAAGATGTCAGAGATTTCATTGATCTGTTTCTTCATCTTTACGCTAATTTCATTTCTCGTTAGAACAGAGTAGGGTTTCCCTCGATCGTGCTCCATCGTTTTCTTGAAAATGACAAAAAAAATAAAAAAAAAAGTCAGAAAGGCAAATCGATAAATTAACAAAGAGCTAGAGAAGAGGTAAAGGATAGGGTTAAGGCTTACTAGTAGCTTGCGCCTGAAACAACAAGATTGAATCGTCCTTTCACTGTCTAGGGTTTGCCATTTTTCACTCTCCAATGGGGATTGGGGATATCGTCAGGCTACAAAATTATTCTGTTTTCGGTATTACATAAAATTTGATAATTAAGTTTTTTTTTTAATTAAGAAATTTGGCCCATTGGAGATTAATCTTGCTTTTAGAAAATGGTGATCTATATTAAGTACAACTGGTATTGTGTAGAGAAAATAGTAAAACTTACATTATTTAAAAGATATTTACGTGCCATTATGATTATTAACATTAAATGTAATTATAATATGCATTTAATTAGTCATATCTAAGAACAACATTTTGAATTGAAAAAGTCCTAATTTAAGGTTGTTACATAATTAAAACAAATTGTATCATTTAATAGTCTAAAACACCATAATTGATTAATGTAACATCGTATAAATTTAATGTTACTAAATAATTAAGCATATAAAAAAATTAATTTTGTGTCGAATATACATCTTTAGTGATAAATAATTATTTAATTATTAATTGATATTTTGTTTTAGAAGACCCATATTTCGAGTCTTACTTCTAAGATCAATCATGATTTTTGGGACGGAATTTAATAATTGGTATAAAATAGATATATGGCGCGAAATAGATATGTGGTTAGAAATGTGAAACTTTTATATATTTTTAAATTTTATTTAGTAATCTAAATTTATACTATGTAAAAAGGAATCAATTATGGTGTTTTAATGGTTAAAACTTATCATCGTATTAGAAAATCAAATTTCGAGTCTTCCTTCTACAATTCCAGTCACAATTTTGGGGGTGAAATTTTATTTTCGGCACAAAATAAATATATGGCACGAGATAGATATATGGTGCGAAATAGTTTTTGTATACTTGAAGATTATAAAATAATCTTCAAGTATGGCTAAAACTTATCAGGGTACTAAGAGAAAAGATTTCGAGTTTTAATTATAAGATTTCATTCATGGAATTTGACTGTAATTAAATGTTTTTATATAATGGCAAGAACATGATGTTTCATATACAAAGTTTTGAAGATTCGATTACACTGATCAGTGATCAGCTCGAAATCCTCGATTATTAAAAAAAAACATAAAATGGAATAACAATGCATTTCATAAAAGAAGAACTTTTCCTTTTTGAGTAAACTCAAATTTGGTCAATGGCCTAGTTGGAATCCGGTGCAGGGAGCTGCTTGCTCTCAAGGTAAGATCTCAGAATATAGTTCCCGTACATCTCTTGATCACGTACTCCTAGTCTGTCAATCGTTTTTGGTCCAACAGAAGCTCCACAATCTTGATCAGGACATGAGATCACGGTGAGGTTTTCCTCCAGAGAGTAGAAATTTTTCTTAAGATACTCTCTCCAGCAAGTTTTGCAGAACTTGTGAGAACAATATGGTGTGGAGATGAAATGATGACGATCTTCTTCTTCATCATACTCTTCATCATCGTCGTCATCATCGTCGTCATCATCGTCGTCATCATCATCATCATCCTCATCCTCATCCTCATCCTCATCCTCATCCTCATCCTCATCCTCATCCTCATCCTCCTCATCATCATCATCATCCTCATCCTCATCCTCATCCTCATCCGCATCACCATCACCATCACCATCACCATCACCATCACCACCATCATCATTGTTATCATCATAATACTCATCAATATATTCATCTTCAGTCGTAGAGCAAATACCACAAGATGATATAGATAAATCTATAGTCGAATTAATCACAACAGGTTTCAAACCTGATTCCGCCAATAACTCTTCCCTTCTTCCACCGAGCTGCACTGCAACAAGACGCGGTTTCCATCCGAACTGCATGAGGAGGTGGATCGCAGTGGATTTATCTGCGCACAAGATTAACATGTTCTTGATCACTTGCTCCATCTTTTCCTTATCCTCATCTCTCAAGCAGGGTCCTTGTTGATCGTTCTCCATTGTTTTCTTGAAAAAGACAAAAACAAATCATAAAGATAAATCGAAAAATTACCAAAGAGCGAAAGATAAACTTGTAAAGAATAGGGTTAAGGCTTTTACTAGCTAGTAGCTTGAGCCTCAAACAAAAAGATTGAATCGAAGGTGAAGAGAGATTCTCCCTTCTCCTTCTATTGGGATAGATCGAGATACAAACTTATTCTGTTTGTGCTCTATTTATAGTTTGATAATCCAGTTTTTCAATTAAGAATATTGTCCCATTGGATCTTAATCTTACCACAAAATGGTGATTTGCAATAACTATAATATCCAATAGTTTTATGTATATGTCTAAGGTTGATTTTTTTCTTTTTGGGCACAACCTATATACAAGTTTATTTAATTCACCAACAGATGGCTCAAACTAAGTTAGGTAAAAGACATTATTTGTCCAAAAAAAGATTCAAGAACATGAAGAAAACTAATCTCAAAAGAGTCTAAAGAAATTAAGAGAGCAAACGAATTGTATAAAAGGCTAAAACCTTTAAATAAAGAATTATAAAAGCTTAGGTTGCAAGTTTCATGTTACCTAAATCTTTTGTTTATCTTTAAGAAAACCTAGGGGAGGTATTCCACTAAATATTCAAAAAAGATTTTTGTTCTTTATGTCAAATCTCTTACTATGGAACTAATGATTTAATAATGTCTTCTAAAATCTAGTCTTATTGAATTTGGAATATACTTAAAATTATTAAAACTAATTTAAAATATGATGTTATTGAATCAAAAACCTGTAAAAGTAATTATAAGATAACCCGGTTTGTGTGCGCGCGAAATAGAGACATTTGTAGATTAATTCAAAATAGTATTAGTTAAAGAGTACTAGAATAAACTTTTTAAGGAATTTGTCTTGAAAGAAGAAGATTATATATGGATTATATATATATATATATATATATATATAACCTAATTTAAAAATGAACATTTACATATAATGACTTTGTGTGTGTTTATTGTTGGTTTAACTTGAACCTATGATTGTCTAGTTGATTTTGATAGATAAATTAGTTGATGTACTGAACTATGCACGGGATAAACGGATAAATTTTATATGATGTTCTTAGATTTGTTTTGCGAAACTAAAAGGATATATTATTGCAAGGTAATACGAAAATATCAAAATTTTGAATACTCATGTCTTTAGACTTTAGCATAAAAAATATTTTTAATTCACGTTAGTTTGACCTATTCCACCTAAAAACGTATGAAGTATTAAATATATAAAATCGATTTGGGCAAATATATTAGAAACCCAAATTTTAAATTTTACTTGCATATCACGATTTAACATATTTTATCGATGAAAATGAACCCATATTAAACGATCTTTGGTAGTTATGGATGTTCGTAACTATTGATTATCAAAATTCAAAACTATAAACACAGTAATTGTAAATTTGCTTATATATCTATACTCTATGTATGAGTCTTATTAAGGGATTATAAATGGAACACATACAACTAACAAGCCATACTAATATACTATGATTGATCTTTTTGAGAATACTCGTAGTTTTTTAATCATATATATGCTACATATATTTCGTGATTACGAATTCTTTTGTCATGTGGATAAAAGATGAATGTTTTTTGACTTTGTAAATTGACGTATAATGGAACTGGCCAACAAGACATTAGTAGAGGGTAAATAAAGAAACTATTAGTACTTTATAATTTTGCCAAGACGCTCATCTAATTCTTATAACCCGTCAAATGATCTCAGTTAACTGAAATCATGTTACTACCCAAATATTTATAAAAAGATTTATTTTATCCAGTACAATAATCCAAAATGTTGAATACTCATAAAATTGTTTGTAATCTACGTACGCTAGTTTGACATGTCTTACGTAGAAGTGTAATAAGAGAACTTGCAAACTATTTTTTTCCCATTTAGTCGATTTAAGAAAAAGAAATACAAAAAATGTTTAATGCTTTTAATTTTTTTGAAAAGGAAACAAAAAAAAGTCTTCCATTTATTGTTATTATAATTTTTTAAGTTATTATATATGTATATACAGTAAAATATCGATAAATTAATAATGTTGGGACCAGAAAATTCAATTAATTTATAAAGATATTACTTTATTGATAAATTAATAATTATTAATTTGTATAGATATTTTTTCTAATTTTGTACTTTCTTAAAAAAAATTCTATCTAAAAAGCATTTTTTTCTTTATAATCAATATTAAAAAAAAAAACAAATTACAAGTAGAAAAGCAATTATTAAGTTTAGAAAAAAACAAAAATATTTTCGATTAAGTAAAAATATTAGAAATGAACTTTACCAAAAAAATAATACAAATATAAGAAAAAAGAACAATAGTAGAGTCAAATTTCATTAAAACTGTTAAATATAATATTTTAAGGACTCGGGCCATTCCGAAAAGCCCTTGATTCTTTTCTAATATCTTCGTTTAATTGAGAAATTTGTTTAAAGATTTTTTTTAATAGAGTTGAAAACCCTAAACCTAGCTTTCTAATTGTGCCTTACTATAAGTCTTATGATTTTATATTTTATTTGGTGCGAGATTAAACAATTTATTGGGATTATTTATTTGATTTTCAACTTAAAAAAAAAAACTGAATTGGCTTAGTGGTTGTTTCATAAATATATTCTAATTTTTTCAAGAGATATTACAAATTATTTGTTTTTTTTTCTCGAAAAAAAAGCCCTAAAAGGTCCGGAAAAGCACTGTAGCCAGACCAGACTTCAAAATATAGATTTAGAATTTTTACGGGACAGACCGGACCGGACCAGGCTAACCCGATTGACATATATGTTTCGGCTATTCATGATATATATATATGCTTTCTAAGTGCAAAAATTGTCTATATATATATATATTTTTTTTTTTGAGCAACGAATTGTCTAAGAGAAATTTTCATAGAGTTACGTACGCAGCGGAATGATATAATGCCTAGAATGTTCAGTAACTTGTAACCACTTAAGTTTTTTTCCAAAGATATGACTGATTACAAACTAGATGAAGTAAAAAAAAATTTAAGACGAATTCCTAAACGATGTACCTTTGAATTATAAGAATATCTGAAAAACACCACCAAATCTAAAATCTAAAATCCACCATAACAATTAAAATTCTCAATCCATAAGACCTTCCTTAGTTAAGAGATAACCCACTTAGCTCCACACGAGCTGCAATATCATCACTGCACATCGTACACTCCTTATGGAACCAAGTGTTTCCAAATGTGCAGCGATCACAGAGCCAAAAAAGACCACCATAGTCGGTGTAGGACTTCACCTTCACGTCGTCCAAACCTTCTCGTAAAGTCTTGATGAAATGATAAAAGTAGTTCCCAATGTTGATAGTCTCAATCGTTACCTTATGCTTGACGCAACAAAAGTTTTCAGAAGTAGCTGACGAGGCTCTTTCTATCTCCTCATTTAGAGTCTTTGAGTAACCCTCCACAAGTGAGGTCGCGTTTGCTTGCAGGAATCGCAGGTATTCCCTCTTCGACATCTCATACTCTGTGTGGAAGTAGTCGTACACGCAGCTCCATTTAAGAACTTGTCTGCATTGAACAATCAGCATCAATCCTTTTCTTATAATTGTCATGTCTTTCTCGCTCAAGTAACCTGGATTCTCCATGTTGGATTCCTCGAAAGCTTGTAGATCGGATATAGCTTGCTTCATTGAAACTTTACTCGCCTTCCAGTGTTCCATGCACGAATTCTCCACTTCTGCTCTTCTCTCGAGTACATTACTGCAGAGTTTATACCATCCTGATTCCGTTTTGTGGTCTTCCTCTGACTGCATACACTTCCAGCAGAAACGACCGCTAGATCAAGAAAACACAAATTAGTATGATCAATAATACTTAAAATAGAGAAACCTAATTATTCAAGATTTGCAAAATAGGGTTTTTTACCCGCAGGCACAAGTCAAGAACCGGAGGTATTGTTTAGTACCCAGGTCCACACGACGAAAACAATGAGGGCAAGTGTTCGTGGTGGCTTTGATCAACGGGAGAGAGCAAGTCTTTTGGCGGGTGGTTTTGATCGAGGAGAGGCTCAATGGTTTTTTACCTGATACCTTCGATAAGCTCTTTAGGTCTCTAAACAACCAATCAGACGCATTGTTGCAGGTCACTGGTTTGTGTGACTCAAGCATGCATCTCCAGCAGAAGATATGACCACAGAGACACACCACGTTTAAGCTATAGTCTTCCTCATCACCATCATGATTCTTCTGATGAAACTCAATGACGTAATTGCAATCACGTGCAGGACACTCTTTGATCTCTAATACCTCAAGGTAAGACCTCAGAACATACTCCACGTACATCTCTTGATCACGTACGGTTAGCTTCTGAATCGTGTCCGGTCCAACCGCAGCTTGACAAGCTGGATGAGGACAAGAAATTCTAGTTTGGTTTTTCTCCACCAAGTAGAAATTCTTTCCAAGATACTTTCTCCAACAAGATTTGCAGAACATGTGAGAACAATAGGGCGTGGAGATTAAGTAATCATCATCATCAAGATAATACTCATCGCAAGTCTTAAAGCAAATCCCACAAGAGATATTAGATAATTCTTGATTCGGATTAGCTACAACTGGTTTCAAACCGGACTCCGATAAGACTTTCTCCTTGTTTTCAACCAAACAATCAGAAACTCGATGAGAGTCCCATCGGAGAAACATGAGGAGTACGGTCGCATCGGATTTTGATAACGAGAATATCTCAGAGATTTCAGCGATCTGTTTCTCCATCTTTTCTCTAAGTTCATCTCTCGTTAGAACAGAGTATGGTCCCTCTCGATCGTTCTCCATTGTGTACCTAAAATTGACGAAAATCAGAAAAACAAATCAATGAATTATAACAAAGAGAGATGAATAAACTATAAGGAATAGGGTTAAGGCTTACCGGTAGCTTGTGCCTCAATCAACAAAAAGAATCGAAGGTGAGAGTTATCGGTCTTCGTGTTTTCTTGATCGTCGTCTCTAGATGATTTCTGTTTCAACTATTTAGGGTCTATTTAGGGTTTTACTTTTTTCACTCTCCTATGGAAACATCGAGTTTTATAAGTAACAAAAATATCTGTTTCTGCTAAATCGTCTAATAAGTTTTTAATTACGAAATTTGGCCCATTGGACCTTAATCTAAGCTAAACAATCGTCTGATAAGTTTTTTAATTAAAGTTACCGACAAAAAAAAAAGATTTTTTAATTAAGAAATTTGGCCCATTGGCACTTCTGGTTTGTCTTTTTTGGGCCCAATTCGGTTTAAATGGACTATGGTTATTCAAGTACTGTATGTATCTTTAGGGGCTTCAGTTCTTGAGAACAGAACTATTCGAGTGAGAGATGGAAAAAGGGACAACAACAAGACCACATCTTTTCTTATGGAGTCTGAGAACTGAAAACATAAGGATCATAAATGTAGAAGAAACGTTTCTTATCACAAAACATCTCGTTCCTATAGATGTTGTGTAAACTGTGAAAATACGAGGAAGGCAAAAAAATGGAATTCCACATCAAGAAGTGTAACTTATCACACTACAGCCTTCTCTTATCATATTTTTGAACTTATGATAACCACTTCAGCTGTAACTCGTTCCACAATACGTTTTCTTGTATTTGAAATCTACCAAACTTGGCACTTGCATTACTTTGTCTTTAGACTCTAGGACAAACTGAAACTTCAGCCTTGAGATGAACCCGATACTATGCTTAATGCATAACACTTACACCTTCTTCAAGTATATCAACTTAAGACATTCCCTGCAATTTCATACATATGTCTCCTTCAGTTTCTCCTTCAGAGAATCCACTGATTATTTGAATAAACTCTTCATGTCTGTGTTCTATCTGAACTATCAGAACCAGCAACTTGATCTTTAGGTGAGATTTTTCATCAACAACTTGATCTGTCTCTGCATCACTTTCTGTCTCAGTTTTACATTCCTCAAATCAGTTATTAATTTTGTTGTTTGCTTGAGGTTTAAGCATAAGTCTTGAGCCTTAAATCAGCACAAAGAGCAAGTTCTTTTTCTCTCTATAAACAATTGATTTTGATTCTTTAAAGGGCTGAGTCTGGGGAATTGATTGAGGAACCTAATCCATGATATGAAGAGGGAAATGAAATCCCTGTTAAACCAAACGTTTACATGGTTTTGATTGATCAAGAGTGTGGATTAAAAGGCCAAGGGGATCTAATTTCGACAATTGATCAAAATTTTTACAAAGAGCCTGTAAATAAAAAGGTTAGAGAGATTCTGATGACTATAATGAAGATGTGAAACACACAATTTATAAGTCTCAGTTGACAAGAAATTTGGGATCTCCATCAGCAGATATGAGGATGTGAGCTCACTGGTCATGTAATGGCACGGCGCTTCTTCTTCTATTTTTGTCCATTTCGGTTTATACAAGTATCTTCAGGGATTTCAGTTCTTGAGAACAAAACTAGTAGAGTTGAGGGATGAAAAAAGACAACAACAGGACCAAAGGTTGAAGAAACGTTGCTTTCACAAAGCATTGTAACTCTGAACTATCAAGAAAGAAAAAAAATTCAATTCGACATTAAAATTTGGTAGTCCAGTACAAACCCCCTAAAACTGCAGAAAGAAAGAAAAGAAAAAACAGAATCTTAAGAACTTAAATTGCAAGGTTCCTGTCTCCTAAAACCTTTTAGCTAAGAGATCAATCACTTAGCTCGTCCGTATTGGATGCAGTAGGATCACAGCACATCTTACAGGCCCTCTCGAACCAAGAGTTTCCATATGTGCAGCGATCGCACAACCAATAAGGACCACCATAGTTGTCGTACGACTTCGCCTTCACCTCGGCTAAACCTTCTCGTAAAGTCTTGATGAAATGATAAAAGTAGTTCCCAATGTTGGTTGTCTCACTCAATAGCTTACCGCGAGTAAGCTCTTTGGCTTCTGTTTCCTCCTTTATACCCTGTGAGAAACTGTGGACAAGGGCAGACGCGTTTTCTTGGAGGAATCGCAGGTACTCTCTCTTCGCCATATCATACTCTGTGTGGAGATAGTCGTACACACAGCTCCATTTGAGGAACTGTCTGCACTGAACAACGAGCATCAGTCCTTCTCTTAGTACTTTAACGTCTTGCTCCTTCAAGTCACTAGGTTTCTTGATTATGGATTCCTCGAAAGCTTCTAGCTCGGATTTAGCTTGCTCCAGTGAAACCTGACTCGCCTTCCAGAGATCCAAACACGAAATCTTCTCCGGTTCTGCTCTCCTCCAACGATTGAAACCAATATTGCTCCAAGGATTGGAACCAACATTGCTCCAACGACTGAAACCAACATTGCTCAAATCCTCCGGTGCAAAACAGGATCCATAGATTCCGTGAGCTTCCGGTGACTGAAAACACTTCCAACAGAAACGCCCACTAAATCAAGAAAAACACAAATTAGTGTGATCAATAATTAAAATAGAGAAGAAATCTAATAATCTGCGAATAGCAAAAACAGAGTTATTTTCATTAGAGTGAAACCTGCAGGCACATGTCAAGAACTGGTTCCATTGGTGTACATCATCAAGCTCCACAGGAATAAAGCAATGAGGGCAAGGCTTGGTATTGGTTTCAATCCAGGAGAGGGTCGATGGCTTGTCTACTTCTCCTATCAATTTCTTCAAGTCTCTAGACAACCAATCAGAAGCGTTGTTGCAGGTCACTGGTCTGTGTGACTCAAGCATGCATCTCCAACAGAAGATATGACCACAGAGACACACAATGTTTAAGCTATGCTCTTCATCTTCACTCGCCAGATGAAACTCAATGTTGTAATTGCAACCCGGAGCAGGACACTGTTTGATCTTCCATCCCAGACATCTCTCACGGTAAGATTTCAGAACATACTTCTCGTACATCTCTTGATCACGTACGGTGAGTTTCTCAATCGTGTCCGGTCCAACAGCAGCTCGACAAGATTGATCAGGACAAGAGATTGCAGTTTGGTTTTTCTCCACAGAGAAGAAATTCTTCTCAAGATACTCGCTCCAACAAGTGTTGCACAACTTGTGAGAACAACAAGCCGTGGAGATTAAACCATCACCATCACCAATCTTAGAGCAAATCCCACAAGATACATCAGATAAATCTTGATTCGAATCAATTACAACTGATTTCAAACCTGATTCAGTCATTAGTTTCTCCGCGTCTTCACCCAAACGCTCCAAAACCCGATTCGAGTCCCATCGGAGAAACATGAGAAGTACGGTCGCATCGGATTTTGATATCAAGAAGATTTCAGAGATTTCAGAGATCTCTTTTTTCATCTTTTCTTTAACTTCATCCATCGTTAGAACAGCGTACGGTCTCTCTACATCGTTCTCCATTGTTTGCTTTGAAATTTGACAAAAATCAGAGAGTAAAATCAATGAATTAACAAAGAAAAACGTATACACTTATAGGGATTCAGAAATAGGGTTAAAGCTTACTGATGATAGCTTCCGCTTTACGCAACAACAAACTTGACTCCGAAGGTAAAGAGGATATCGTCTCTAACTGTCGAGAGATTTCTTCTAGGGTTTTCCTTTTTTATGCACTCTCCTTTGTTTGGAGATATCGACTACTTTTCTACAAATTGTTTTTTTTTTTTCGTTTTTTATAAACAAATTTGGCCCATTGGACCTTAATCTTTCTACAAAATTGTGATTAATATTTAATAATTACAAAAGCCAATTATAGTCTACATTCCACACTTAACACCAAAAGAAAAAGAGAAAAATAAAAAAAAAGTCTACATTTTTTTAAAAAGCCTATAAAAGGTTTTTTTTTTTATTAACTCAACATTATGAGTTTTTATTAATTTATTATTTATGAATTTAATAACAAAAGTTGACAAAAAAAAATTAATAACAAAATTTTATACGTGGAAGCCCCCTTGGCCCATTGGTTGACTAAGGGTTGATTAATGCTTCTACACCAAAAGGTCTGGGGTTCGAGTCCCAGGTATTGCGATTTATTAACAAATTTGCAGATTAATGGAGGCAAGTGTGCAAGAGATCTCCAGCGATGTACAATTATAGCCGTTCGCCAGGATTCTACGCAGAGAAGGAAGTGTCGCCAGGTTGTGGATCATTGAAGGTATTCATCAAGATTACGAAGAAGGAAGTGTAGTCTGTCGTGAATCTAGTAAGGGTCGGAAGGAATTGTCAGTTGTAGAATCGTCTATATAACAGTTCTCATAATTTGTAATTAATAATAAATCTAGACGACAAAAAAAACAAAATTTTATACTAAATTTGGTTAAATTTGTTAAGTAGATTGAATTAAAAGCAAAAGACTAACCAAATCTAAAGTCATAAAAGAAAATATCCACCTCCATGATTCAATAAGCCACAGAGATCCATCAAAAATAGGAAACAAAACATAGACCTAAAATTTATTTTTTAAGTAATAATATTTGACTTTCAGATAATTTGATTATTATTGGTCAAAAAACTTAAAAATTTGATAATTGTTTTTGACTTGGTGAACACTAAAATCTAGTGCATGTGGTTACCAACTCACAAAACTAAAGTAATGCGATTGGTTCTTTTATCATGCAAGTGACGTCACAAGATTTGAGCGAGGGGTGTAATAGTAAATTGAAAAGAAGCCAGCGCCGACGAACCCGTGGCTCGCACGTCGTACGGCAAGAGAAGAGAGTCTATGCAGTGAGGAAAGGCGCGTTTGTTGCGTTTTAGCCCCCAAATCCCGCCTTTTGCTTTTCACCTTTCGTTATAAAAAGTGTTTCTCTCTCTCCTTCTCCTCTCTCGCTGGCTTCGAGGAGAAAAAGCAAAATTGGAGACATAATTTTACTGGTTCTCGGAGATTCTAGGGGTTTTTTTTTTTTTTATCCTCACCTTGCTGATCTCCGTCGTGAATTCGTCTCCGATTCTCACCTGGTACGGATTTTGAATTAACTCTTTCCTTAAAATTCGCGTCAGATCTGGAATTTTTTTTGTCTTGCTTTTTTTTTTCCGATCTCGATGACCTGTCTGTGTCGTGTTTTTCAATATTGTGCTTGATTTGTGTGTTGTTGTTTCGCCGAATTGCTTGATCTCGTTTAGTTTTGGTGTTTTTAGAGGAATTGTGGCTTAGACTGTTCAATGTGGAATTGATGTTTAGCTTTAGAAACAGAGTTATCTCCTAATTGTTCAGGATTTGGTAACAGAGTTATCTCCTAATTGTTCAGGATTTGCTTCAAAGGGAAGAAACTAGGTCACTAGCTTTGTGGAAGCCGAATTGTTGAGCCATTATTGAATCTCTGATTGTTCATGCTTTATAGAGTTATAGTCAATATCTTGCGTAATATAAGTTTATTAAGGTTTATCTCTTCTCACGGAGATTATTCTGTTTTTTGGTTATCTCTGGCAGGTATTTTGTGGCCTAAAGCTCATAAGTTTATGCTGGTGCAACAAGTTAAATAGGAATGACGTATTAGATTTGCAATGATGGATGTGGGGTTCTCTCTTATTCAGTGGTTGATCAGTTCTGGTGCTGACAGTCCGTTTATATTTGGATGGCTTGTTACTGGATCTGTTGGGCTTCTCGCTGTTATCTACACATTTCTTAGATGGCAGAAAAAAACTTCTTTAAACTGGGTTAAAGCTGCCGCTAGAGAGAAGAAGAAGGTTTGGAAAAGACTGAGAGTTCCACTTTCTCATCATCAATGGACGGATGATTATGGTTATGGCCCACAGCCATCCACTTGCTGTGTTTGTCTCTGCTCCCTTGTTCCAGGTCAAAATGTTTCTACTAAAGCAGCTCTGAGTATTCCCGTCCACCGGTGTGCTGTATGCGGTGTAGCAGCTCACTTTTATTGCTCAGGCTCTGCTGCAAAAGACTGCAAATGTGTTGCGCAGGCTGGATCTGACCATGTCCGACATCACTGGTCTGAGCGATGGGTTAACATGGATGATAGCGCTGACATGACTGCCTTTTGCTTCTACTGTGATGAACCGTGTGGTATTCCTTTCATTGAAGCTTCTCCAATGTGGCACTGCCTTTGGTGCCAGCGCCTCATACATGTAAAGTGCCACATGATTATGTCCAAGGAATCTGGTGACGCTTGCGATCTTGGCTCTCTCAGAAGAGTAATCCTCTCTCCAGTACATGTAAAACTCAATGAAGCAAATGGTGTGGATGGAGTACTGACTACTATTAAAAACGAGTTAGCATCTATACGAGGGCATGTGAGAAGAAAGCGTCATAGGGGAAAAAATGGGAATGGCCAGTCACTAAATGGTAAGCTGTTGGAGGATTCAGCCAGCAATCCAGTAAAAACCGTAGTAAATGGGCTTGTAGTGAAAAAGATACGCAGAGATAGGAGCATAGATTGCTTACAGAAAGTCTCGGACATGCCTAATGCAAACGGATTGCAAAATGGTATAAGCGGCCACAAACGAAATAAAAGTGCCGCTTTTAAGTTTATGAAGAAGTTTTCCTTGGTTGATTTGCCCCCAGATGCAAGACCGCTTTTGGTCTTTATCAATGCCAAAAGCGGAGGGCAACTCGGTCCTTTTCTTCACAGGAGACTTAACATGCTGTTGAATCCAGTACAGGTAGGAAATGAGCTTCAGTTTTTCAGAAATCCACTATGGATATTTTACAAAGTATTTCAGTAGCAAGTAATGGCTTGAAATATGAAATTCATACTGTCTTCCAAAGTTTATCTTCTTTTGTAGTTAATGACGTTTAGAAGTTTGTCTGCTTTTAAACATATTGAATCTTAAATCACTGTAATTGCTTTGGTGAATTACAGGTCTTTGAACTTGGCTCTTGTCAAGGGCCAGACGCTGGTTTAGACCTATGTAGCAAAGTGAAGTATTTTAGAGTTTTGGTATGTGGGGGAGATGGAACAGTTGCATGGGTGCTTGATGCCATTGAGAAGCGCAATTTTGAATCCCCTCCACCTGTCGCTATTCTTCCTTTAGGCACAGGAAATGATTTATCTAGAGTTTTGCAGTGGGGAAGAGGTATTTCAGTAGTTGATGGACAAGGAAGTCTAAGAACGTTTTTGCAAGACATTGATCGTGCTGCAGTTACAATGTTGGATCGATGGAGTGTTAAAATTGTAGAAGAGAGTACAGAAAAGTTTCCAGCAAGAGAAGGCCACAAGTTTATGATGAATTACTTAGGTACATTAATTAAGCATATACGATTTGGTCCCTCTCATTGATCATGAACAATAGCTGACATTTCCTTGTTTAGGTATTGGCTGCGACGCCAAAGTTGCATATGAATTTCATATGATGCGGCAAGAAAATCCTGAAAAGTTTTGTAGTCAGGTACTGCTGTTGTGTTTTCTTACCTGGAACATATATGATGATATATAGAGAACCATAATGTGAATAAAGCTTTGTGTCATTGTTTTCTTATCTTGTATGCAGTTTGTAAATAAATTACGATATGCTAAAGAAGGTGCGAGGGATATAATGGATCGAGCATGTGCCGATTTACCATGGCAAGTTTGGCTTGAAGTTGATGGAAAAGACATTGAAATTCCCAAGGTATCTTATTCAAATGAAACTAGTCTTGCAGGATTTTTCCGGGTTACTTTTCTCAATGCTGTGCCTTTTTATTCTTTGCTAATATGGAAACCCCAACCACTACTCACTAAACATATATTTAGGTAAAAACTGAGCATGAAAGATAACGCATAATTGCTTGATAAAAAGTAAAAACCATGGCTGACAACGACATTTTTGTTTCCTATCTGGAGAACACTTTGATTTTCTGGAAACTGAGAAAGAGGTTGATAATACCAAAAAAAAGGCTAAATTTTTTGTTGTTGCCTCTAGAAATTGATGTCCCCAATTTGTTTTCCTCTCAGGATTCAGAGGGTCTAATAGTACTTAATATTGGAAGCTATATGGGTGGAGTAGATCTTTGGCAAAATGATTATGAACACGATGATAATTTTAGCATTCAGTGTATGCACGACAAGACACTAGAAGTGGTATGTGTCCGTGGAGCGTGGCACCTTGGCAAACTACAGGTCTAGTCTCATTTCGAATTGCTCCTTACTCTTGTTTCTGATAATTTGTATACAGTCGTCCTCAAACCTGTAGATATTTTAGCAGTAGTTACTTTTCAATATGAGGCTAAAATATCATTTTAACATGTGATTCTCCCCTCCAGGTCGGTCTTTCTCAGGCTAGGAGGCTAGCACAGGGGAAGGTCATAAGGATACATGTTTCTAGTCCTTTCCCTGTTCAAATAGATGGAGAACCGTTTATTCAGCAACCTGGCTGCTTGGAGATAACTCACCACGGGCAGGTATATCATTTCGTATCAGCTCTACCTTGTATTGGAAGTAGAGCTGAAGAAACTCACTATGCCATAATTGATGATGATCTAACTATCTAAGGGTTGGTTTATGTGTGCAGGTGTTTATGCTAAGAAGAGCATCAGATGAACCACGAGGGCATGCCGCAGCCATAATGAATGAGGTGTTACTCGATGCGGAATGCAAAGGAGTCATAAATGCATCTCAAAAGAAAGTACTTCTACAGCAAATGGCTCTCCATCTCTCATAGAAAAAACAAAAACAGATCATCCTCTCACCAAATTTTGCTAACAAGAAGAGTTAACTTACAATCTTGTCTTACCCACTAGAAAGCCAGCCCGGGTACGAGATTTTTTTTGTCTATTTACCCTTATTTTTTGTTTTTTTTTTTTTCCCTTTGGTGTTTGTGAAGAGTGTCATATGTATAGATAGTGTGCCAATACGAAAGCCACTGAGATTGGCGTCAAAAAGTGTCAAGTAGAGAAAGTTTGAATATATACATCATACAGTGATCAGTTTTAGGGTAATACAAAGGCCATGAAAAAAAAAGAACACAAAGGCTTTATTACCCATGAGTTTTTTGTTTATTTACGCTCCATGTGTCACATAAGATTCAAGTACGTGTATTTCCAGACCCACCGCCTAAAATGCAGACCCTTCTTTGACTTGCTGAGAAACTACGATTTCTCATTACATTGTCTTCTAAAATAACATGATGTTATATTTGTGGAATCATTTTATACCAAACACGGAATATTTTGTTCTAGGGAATCAATGATATTTTGGCAAATAACTAGTTGCTAAAATTTAACTATCATTTAATTACCTTACTAATTTTGTTATTTCCTTAAATATTGGGATTATCCAGAGCAATTAGACTTTTGTATCATTAACATAATTCTTTAGGTAAGCCAGTCATCCATTTATCTTACTGCTATAAAAGCCTATAACACAAATACGTTTATCGTAGGATCTCATGCATTAAAGTGGTAGTTTATCATACTTTTGAAGTGGATAAATAAAACAGCTCCTCTCCATCCATTATGCGACATCCAGAAAAAATATCTACAGAAAGAAACAGAATAATTTCAAATTTTCAGAGCAAAAAATTAGAGCCAAAAAGAGACATATCATTTGATTTTAGGGATATTATCCGAATGGTTATTTATTATTGATTTACACAATAAAAATGAATAATGCTTGGATCTAGTTTAATAAAAAATAAATCTAATTTCTAATTCTGCTAGATTATATTGGACTCTTTAGTTAATAAAATGATAATTATAATATGAAAGGATATAAATTTGAATACGACAATTAAATTACTTATTTCAACAATTTGAAAAAGAAAAAAACGGTTATATCTTCTACATGAAGTCAAGATTTTTTCCCCCAAAATCAACTAAATCATAAATTCAAAAAATAATATTTCAATGCAAAATTTATATATCATTTATTACTTATCATTATCTTTTTCCTTTGGTTTATATTGTGAAATCTGGACAGTTTTTTATTTTCCTTCTTTAACAAAAAACGTTATATAGTGAAAAAAAGAAGAAAATAAAAAGAATCTAAAACCACTCAGCTCTCCGCACCATGTGAAAGGTTGGTGTAGTGGCAAGAACTCTTTCGAATCTGAACGCCTTAGCTCAGAGATACGAGCATTTTGCCAGAAATCTCCCATTTACCTAATCCCCACAATTCCAGGAACCCAGAAATGATGGTTTTCGAAAGGCTCTAGCTTTCTCAAATCGAGATTCTGCTGAGGTTTGCTTACTCTAAACCCTATAGATTCATTTCCCTTTGTTCTTGTATTTCTTAAAATTCGTTTGCTTTTTTCCCAAATCCATTAACCCATAATGTTCAAATCTGCTCAGATTCGCACATGCTTGATCTCTCATTATCTGCAGATCGTTTAAATCTTGATCTCGTCATTTTTGTCTCTGTTTTAGTCGGTGACCCATGAGTTCATGAGAGAACGAAATTGTTGATCTTGTCGTTTTGATGAGCTCTTGTGGTGGGAATTTGGTGGGAGAGCTTTAAAAAATTGAATTAATAGTTGCTTAATTTTGCTCGTGTTAAAAAATTAAGAGTAATGGCTGCTTTAATCTGCTTCTGTAGAGTGATGGCTGCTTAAATCTGCTTCTGGTTTAAAAAAATTGGTGTAATGGCTGCTTTCATCTGCTTATATATGTATATTTTATACACTTGTTAGTGGTTTCTTGTGTTTGGATTTGGTGAAAATCTTTCCTGGCTCAGTTACAACCTGAATCAGAATCATCTTATTGCTTTCAGACATCATTTTGTCATGTCTTTTGTTCACTTTCCTTTGTTTTCATTGATCTCAGCATGTTTTTGACTCTTCTGACATCTGAAAGGTTGAGTGGGATCTATGATCATATTGATTATATATGATACATTCTTTTCACATTCATACTACTATAAGCTTTTATAACTGGATCATAGAATCCAGATTTAGCTGCTTCATCGTCATTAGTTTGTGTATTCTCCCTTTTACATGTAAGCTTTTAGGTTCCGCTAATATATATATTGTTTGTTACTTAAAAGTGATATGTTACCGTAAGCTTTCATGTTGAGAATCTTGTGTTTATGACATCTTTAAATGTTTTCGCTGCAGGAGCTCGTTGAAAGAATGCAAAATAGACCATCTCTCTCTTGTCCTTTGTCTTACAGATCGTTTCTCTTTCAACGTGATATTAGAAGACAATACTAGATGCAGTGAGGTCCTTTGTATTATTGGACCTTGAGTTGTCTTGTCTAAGTGGGATAACCTTTTTAATATCAATAAGTTCAACAGATAGTGAACTTTTTTTTGTCTCGTGAGTTTTCTTTTTCGGGCTTGATGGGTAAAGAGAATCAGTTGGAGACAACAAATTGTGGAGTCAATGATCACGATTGTCCACCCGTCAAGAACGAAGAACTAGCAGCTGAGGCGCGTTATAGTACAGACAGTGACTCGGGTTTGCCAACCTGTCGTGTATGCCATTCTGCAGAATCTGACAGACGAGGAGATACTGCCTTGGGGTTTTTGGGGATTACTCCTCCGGTTCCAGAAGCTCGTAAAAGCAATGCAGACGAAAACGCTGATGATGTCAGCAAAGCTACAGAGTCTGAGCTGAAGAATTCTGTCGTCAAAAGCAATGGAAGGGAATCTGGCTTCTTCGAAATAACAAGTCCTGATGCGGAAGTTTTCATTTGCACAAATGATATAGAAATGGGAATCCAGCAGCATCAGGATGCTTTGCTTGAGCTTGGATGTTCTTGCAAAAACGAGCTTGCTTTGGTACACTACGCTTGCGCACTCAAGTGGTTTCTCAACCATGGATCCACCGTGTGTGAAATCTGTGGACATCCTGCAGAAAATATAAAGACTGCTGATTTCAACAAAGTGGTCACTGCCTTGAGAGATTACACAGCACTAAGAGAAAGAACCGCTGATGGAGGAGATCCAATCCCTGTATTAGCGGTGAGTACAGATTCAACCATAGATTCAGATGAAGTTGCTGCCATTCGAAGGCAACGACTTAGTGAGATATCGTCATGGTTTGGTCCCCATTCCCTGAACAACAACAACAATAGTTCTGTTGCGGCTTCTCAGGCTATTCCTGACCAACCTTTAGGTGTTGTGAACTTTGACATCTTACCTATGGAAAGCCGTGCAACTAAATGGGCTGTGGAAGGTACTGGGATTCTACTTGCTACCGGTTTACTCACTGTTACTTTGGTGTGGCTCATTGCTCCTCGTGTTGGAAAGGTATGCCAAAGATTAAGCCTCTCTGACTGGTAGATCGATTGCGTTTATTTGGTTGACGGTTGTTTTAAATTCGTGCAGAAAACTGCTAGGAGCGGACTTCACATCCTTCTTGGTGGTCTCTGTGCTTTAACAATAGTCATCTTCTTCAGATTTGTAAGTAAATCTCTTAAGTAATAATCTTCATTCTAATGGTTCCTACTTTTTTTGACTAATCAAACACACAAAACTTGAAAACAGGTTGTGCTCACTAGAATCAGGTATGGTCCTGCACGCTACTGGGCAATCTTATTCATCTTCTGGTTTCTTGTGTTTGGTATTTGGGCTTCTCGTTCTAATGCTTCGCACAATAACCCTTGAATTCACCATCTCCTCTCTCTCTCTCTCACTCGTGTCTCTATCTATCTGAGTCTGTATTCTTCTCATGGAGAAAAATGTACATTGCTTCATTAAAGAAAAATAAGCTCATGCTTCATTGAATATGATGATATATATATATATATATGATTCATAATGGTTGGTCACAATTGCTTTTACAGTTCCTCTGTATCTACTTTGTGATGTCTTTAAGACATTTAATCAAATCATTACAAAACAAAACCAAAAATCGAAACTTGCTGACTGAGTGCGATTCACCAGTGGAAGAATTCCCCCAATTACCCAGAATCCGTTAAGTTGGTCAGTCACTGAAATCCAAATGTGGAAATCTCAAATAACCCGATTCTGTAATCTTATGACCCGGCGTGGTCTCCGGGTCAGGATCCGACACGATGCGGTGGTCGAATACTCTCTGAATCAGCTTCAACTTTTTATCCGATTTTGTTTTACCCTTGAGGAGCAAAATTCCAATTCAAGAACGGTTTCTGCTCCAACGGGTCCTGAAACGAATCGACGAACTCGGAGGACTGGTACGCGAACTGAGGGACAAAGGCGTCATTTTGCAACAAATCAATGGAACTAAACATGGACGTGTCATTAAACGCCTCTAACGCGTCTTCCAGATTAATCCATTTGGGCTCACTCTCAACCTCCCAGTTATCGGAACACGTGACGTCCGGTGAAATCACGTGACTTGAGCATCTCGAGTCCGACGTACTTATCTTCGCCGTCGGTTTCTCATCCGCCGCCGGATAATACTTCTCCATTGTTCCTTTCTTATTGTAAATCCGACACAAAACCCAATCATCAAGCTGCAAAATTTCAACCAAAAAAAAAAAAACTTAGTCGTCATCATCATCACAAAAATCGAAAAATTCAGATATTAAAAAAACATAAAGCTTACTCGCAAATTGTTCTTCTTGTTGGTGGTAGAAGCAGATCGATCGACATTAGCGAGACGATACTCGTGCATAATCCAATTCGTTTTAACCCCTTTCGGAGCTTTTCCTGCGTAGAAGACCAGTGCTTTCTTAATCCCTAATGTCTTCGGTTTTCCGATCGGTTTATCTGCTCCAGTCGCTTTCCAATAACCGCTTCCAGCTGCCCGGTTTGGTCTCGAACCGTTTGGATATTTCCGGTCTCTATGTGAGAAGAAGTACCATTCTTTCTCTCCGTACAACGCCATTTCTGCAAACAAAATCCCAGTTTTCTTCAAAATCAAAGTAAATTCACAAAACCATAAATCAATCTCGTCGTGGAGTGAAATTTTACCTGGAAGCTCCCATGGATTGAATTTATACAAATCAATCTCTGCGATAACCGGAACGTTAATCGGTTCCGACGCGCATCTCCGGCAAAGATAGAACTTAACAAGCTCTTCGTCCGTCGGATGAAATCGGAATCCCGCCGGCAAATTCAAATCCGCCTTCATTTTTGGAAAAGAACCTTGTGTTGTCTTGTGGATAAGATTCGATTTTGAGATTTTTTTAAAACCTTTGTGGTTTGTCTCAAAGA